TACGTCAACTATCCTTCGTTCTGTACTCGCTGTTCTTTCTATGCTGTGGCAGTGGCGTACTTACGACAGGTTTTCTTGGATTTTGGACTAAATTTAACAAGAAAATGCAATATCAGCAAATATACGCAGACCATGTCATAACTAAGAATCAATCCAATACCGATATGTATAATGGTAATATCGGTCTAATTTGCGATATACAGGGTGTCCCAGAAGTCGACGTCAAGCCGAAACCGGGTGATAGGCAAAGTCATAACAGCTATCAGAAAAATTTTTAAAAAAAATTTATGTATGTGTTTTGAAATTATAGGTCTTTGAAAAAAATATAGAAATTTCACACCCTACGGCAGTCTGTCAACTCCTGTTACTACAAATATTAACTTTTTTTGGATTTTATTTTTACGATCTAATGATGAATAATGCATCTTCAAACTGGTGTCTCAACCTTACTGCCAACTTTTTTCGTTCAGGAAAAATTGCCACTTATTTCCCAACCAAGTATTCCAAAGTAAGACTTTGCTCAACTTTAACTGGCTGTACTGGAAAAAAATGTACTACGAGACTTTGGCAAGTAACCTTAAAAGTTGGCGCATTTAATAAGGATTCCAAAATGGTATAACACTTAGAAGATTACTCGTTAACTTATGCACAATTTTTATTTGAAGAAAAACTGATGAAAATTTTTCAAAATTTCCTAATTAAACAGCGATTATGAAAACTCACAAGGACCCTTAAGGATAACTGTTTGCACAACAGTGGGCGTCAAAATGCTGCTGATGATGATTTACCTTTACAGCAAATGCTCAAAGTGTTTTCCTTCAGCCGCAATACACGCTCGACATCTTCTTAAAAAAGATCGGGTTATTAAACGAGCGAATCCACGGTTATTAACAAACTCAGCTACTTCCAATAGTCTTTGCCGTAGTTCAGCTACATTTTGAATCGGCTTAAAATACACTTTTTCTTTTACAGTTCCCCAGTAAAAAAAATCTAACGGATTCAAATCTGGTGACCGGGCTGGCCACGGTATTGTACCAGACCGCCCTATCCATCTGCCTGAAAAGTTTTGATCGAGATACTCTCTCACTGAGAGTGCATAGTGCGCTGGGCAGCCATCATGCTGAAACTACATATCCCTGTAAATACTCAGTGGCACGTCCTCCAATAAATTTTCTAAATAATTTTGCAAAAAACCTAAATAAACCTCAGCAGTCAAAGTCTCTGGGAACTCAAACGGACCGATTATTTTACCATTTAAAATTCCTGTCCAATGGTTTATCTTGAAGCGATATTGAGATTTATCTTCTCTCATCAAATGTGGGTTTGCTACGTGCCACTCGTGTAAGTTATGCAGGTTCATGTACCCATCTTTCTTAAATGTGGTCTCATCTGACCATAAGATTTTTTCAAAGAACCGTGGATCTTCCCTGTGTCTTTCTAACATTGTGCGACAAAAAGCAACTCGGGGCTCATAATCCCGGGGCAGAAGAGCTTGAACACGCTGTACGTGGTATGGCTGCCCAGCGCTCTATGCAGTCTCAGTGAGATAGTATCTCGATCAAAACTTTCCAGGCAGATGGATAAGGCGGTCTGGTAGAATACCGTGGCCAGCCCGATCACCAGATTTGAATCCGTTAGATTTTTTTACTGGGGAACTGTGAAAGAAAAATTGTATTTCAAGCCGATTCAAAATGTAGCTGAGCTACGGCAAAGACTATTGGTAGCAGCTGAGTTTGTTAATAACCGTGGATTCGCTCGTTTAATAACCCGATCTTTTTTAAGAAGATGTCGAGCGTGTATTGCGGCTGAAGGAAAACAGTTTGAGCATTTGCTGTAAAGGTAAATCATCATCAGCAGCATTTTTAAGCCCACTGTTGTGCCATCAGTTATCCTTAAGGGTCCTTGTGCGTTTTCATAATCGCTGTTTAATTAGGAAATTTTGAAAAATTTTCATCAGTTTTTTTTCAAACACAAATTGTGCATAATTTAACGAGTAATCTTCTAAGTGTTATACCATTTTGGAATCGTTATTAAATGCGCCAACTTTTAAGGTTAGTTGCCAAAGTCTCGTAGTACATTTTCTTCCAGTACAGCCAGTTAAAGTTGAGCAAAGTTTTACTTTGGAATACTTGGTTGGGAAATAAGTGGCAATGTTTCCTGAACGAGAAAAGTTGGCAGTAAGGTTGAGACGCCAGTTTGAAGATGCATTATTCATCATTACATTGTAAAAATAAAATCCAAAAAAAGTTAATATTTGTAGTAACAGGAGTTGACAGACTGCCGTAGGGTGTGAAATTTCTATATTTTTTTCAAACACCTATAATTTTCAAAACACATACATAATTTTTTTTTAAATATTTTTCTGATAGCTGTTATGACTTTGCCTATCACCCGGTTTCGGCTTGACGTCGACTTCTGGGACACCCTGTATACACGAATCGGCCTATATGATTTTTTACACGGAAGCACCTGCGCAGGCAGAAGCCTAAGTGCCAGTGCACCGTGGACCCTGTAAGAAGCTTAAAGAAATTCTGTTAATCCGGTTTTCGAACTGCCTTAGTTTAGTAGAACTGAGAAAAGCCTCCTCAGGTAGATTCTTCCGCAATCTCGATAACCCTGGGACACGAAGTTCGACACGGTTAGCATGGGAGGCCGAAGTACTTCTTAACACTAAGGCCCGTATCGTCAGTCGACCCTACAATTGTCGGGCGCGTTTATGGCCTCCTTGATTGTCATACTCCTTTCCCCCCTTTAAAAATTTCTAGATTACACTTGTCCCGTGTCAGCGTCAGCGCTCTCCTAGTGTGAAGATTTGTTTTCCTTTTAAATTGTAGGAAATTTCAGGCTGATAAAACATGATATAACTCAAAACCAAGCACAACTTGATGCAAATTGATGTTTGTGACATAACCTCAAAATAGAGCGCTGACACGGAGAAATAGAAAACTATGACAATCAAGAAGGCCATAAAGGCGCCCAGCAATTGTACGGACGAAGGACGATACGGGCCTTAACAAATAACCTAGCATTCTTTGTCATGTCTTTATGCCAGATCAAGACCTCGGTGATCTAGACTCCGACCAGCCGAAATGAACGAAAGATCGCTAGCAAGCTTCTTGTTGGTCATCTACGCTCTATAGGTCGGCCGATACAAGGATACAATTATTGAACTGAGAATAAAACAATATACAAACATGATTATTTTTCCATCAATTGTAGAAAATATTTTCTGTGCTTTGCATATGATACAAATCGCACTAACAACTTTGTCAGCATGTGATTGGAAATTAGGTCAGATATTATGTCTGCATGAGCTATTTTTCCGGATTTTCAACATTACGTAAAGTTTTTTTTATGTAATAACCCAAAATAATTTCGCCAACTAATAGTAATAGTTTATTGATATTATAATGTATAGAAATCTTGTTAAAAGTGTAAATAAAATTCAAAATATAAAAAACAAACAAACGTTTAAAGAAATTTTTAGCTAGAAACTCGGTGTTACGCTACTGTCTCACCTGCAGATGCATTTCCATGTTCTCTCGGAACCCTCAAGTGCTTGGTAATTTCCTTAAATGGCAGAGCGATACGTTTATTGTTTTATCAACATGTGTTGGATAATACAATAATGATCAGGAAGATTGTCCCCCTTATTGTGTCGTCAATTAAGGTTAAAACATGTTGATTGTTTATCTGCCTGTCATCGCATATTTGGGTTTTGAGTTGTACGTGATGATTCAATACAATAAATACTGTTAATAAATATTTAATAGTTTATTCTGTTTTTTCTACCATGATTAGTTGGTAACATTTTGAGTTTGAGGCTTCATCTGGATCTGTCGATCATAGAGCAAGGAAGAATAAGCTATTCCTGTTAAAACGTCAAACCAGACAATTCAAGATCTAAAATTAAACGGTACAATGTTTGATGTCTTTTACCATAAAAATATATACAAGGTTGTTTTTGAAGTTTATTGCTTGCAATCTGGGACACAAAGACGGTATTTTCCGTAATCATATCGAAAAGTATCAAAACTTCCTTAAAATAGAATTAAAAATGAGATTTTGACGGGGAAAAGTGAAGGCGGATGTCATTCGCAAGTATATATAAAATCTAATTTCCACGCATTGAATTGAGGCTTCCCAAACATAAACATATAAACAATTTATCAATTTTGTTTGTTCTATATTCTTTTTAATATAGCTTTTTTTCGTTGATTTTTTCTTGTCCCAATTAAAAAAGTACTTAAAAGAATCTGGGTTTGAGCTATCGAGGTTAGAAAATCATCTTTTCCACATGTTCTACGCCATGTGTAATAAATTTCCTGTTAAGGTTATTCTCATATTAGATCGTAAAACCTAAGATAGGCATTTTGCTGGCTAATCAACCCTTAGACTTTACAGGGTGTCGCATATGACGAAAGGCTCATTTCTAAGCTCAATATCTCAAAAAAAGTTCAATTTAGGCATGGAAATTTTTAAAATCTCAAAATCAAAAATAAAAAGGATTTTCCATTAAAAAAATGTTTGGCCTGCTTTCACTTTCGGGCTACCCTGTATATCACAAAAAAATATTTATAATTTAACTTTTTGTTTCAATTCCTTATAATGAGTCCGTCATATCTTTGACCCACCCTATGCAACGATGCTAGAGTTTTCAAACTTTTGAATTCACTTTTCTGGAAACTTACTTTTTTGTGACATGAGTGTTTTTCCCCTGTACCCTTCAAGTGCTGTCGACAGTTAGAAATTTTCCAGCGGCGCAACCTCAGCAAAAAGTTCTATGAGCTTCTTGTTAACAAGCGAATTACGAGTAAAATGCATTACGAGTTTCGCTCTTTGTGACTTGTTAGGTGTAAATTGTGACATTGTCGGTACCCACCCACATGAAAATCATCCTGGGCACGAATCCTGAGACAATCATTTTGCCCCTCCCTATTAAAATTCCTAAATGCGCAATCGAATCATTTCTTTACTAATAATACCTTATTTTGTTGCAGTGGCGTGGCGGTACTGAGCTGTACGGATTGCGGCAGCAACAGCGCGAGCAGCACAGCGTCGAGTGACATAACGAGCATCAGCAGCGGCGAGGAGGAGCCAGGATCTCCGTTCAGCACCGCCTCCACTAATTCGGAGGATTCTGGAACGGGAGGGGGAGGTAGTTTAGGTGGTGGAGGGGGAAGGCGGATGCCGCCTACCCAGTCCGCACCACACCCGTCCTGGCCGTGGACGGGACTACTTAACGACCCACCGCCTGAACAGATCACGGTAATACTTTTATTTTGCTACCCACGCAGCTGGTGTTGTAATCGTGAAAGAATGTAGGTAGTACATGACGAATAACCATGTACATTTCTGTCCGCTAATCCTTGACCCTGCTATAACTTTGAGAGTACTGGCTGAAATTTTCACAGAAGGGTAATGACTAAAAAGCTTTATATAAAAAAGTAAAATAATAAAAATCGCTCGAACTTCAATGTTTTTGAAGAAAAAATTTGGGCTGCGAGGTTGTAGAAGGGTATATCTCAATTTTTTGACGTTAGTTTTGACCATAAGATGTTTGGCTTCTGCACTTACACTAACTGGCGTGGCTAAATGATTATATGACCTTTGGTGATTTCATCAAATACTTTTCAGCCACCATTTATTTTTAGGTAATCCCAAAGTTGTTTCTTTTAAATATACTAAGTGACATATAAATCCGAACACCCAGTTTAAATGGTTTTATGTTAATAAAATTTTGTATAAGTACTTAATGAAGCATAATAAGTAAATGATAAAAATTTCAAAATGATTGCACTGCTTTAAAGCCCTTTGACCTTTAATAATGTGTGGATGCACCCTGATGTGCTACGCATTCTCCAACGCGCCTAGGCATGCTTCTGATCAGGTGGTCAATGTCATCCTGTGGTATCTCATTCCAGGCAACCACCAACTCCTCTCGAAGTGCTTCTAGAGTCTGAGGAGGACGTTGCAAATTGAGCAATCTCCTACCCATCATATCCCACACGTGCTCAATTGGGGATAAGTCGGGAGTTCTTGGTGGCCATGGTAACAATGTGACATCATTATGTTGAAAGAAGTCTTGTTGGAAAGTTGGATCTGCCAGGGTGTCAAGATAGGGTAAAAGATGGGGTTCTAGAACTTCGTGGATATAACGCTGCGCGTTCATGTTACCTCTGATGAAGATTAAAGGTGACCTGGAACCATAAGCTATAGCACCCCAAACCATAACTCCAACAGTGTGATGAACATGTCTTTCAACAAAAAACTGTGGATTCCTCCTTTCACCACGTCGCCTTCTAACCCTGGCACGACCATCGTGCATGCCTAAACAAAATCGAGACCCCGTCACTAAAGACAATACTGTTCCATTCCTGATCCCAGAGTGATCGTTGTCTGCACCACTCAAGGCGATTACGTCGGTGTTCTCGAGTTAAAGGGATCACCCAGTGTGGCCGGTATGAAAACAAGCCAAAACTTCTCATTCGTCGGTAAAGACTTCGCATGCCAATAGGTCTTCCGTGTTCTGCAAACCATTCATTTGCAGTGCCCCTTGCTCTTTGCGTACGGCCTTCTCGAAGCCATGCCTGACAACACCTAACCACAGTGTCTACACTTCTTTGCACTCTAACTGCAATTGCCCGAAAAGAAAGTCTAGCTTCCCGAAGTCCCACTATACGGCCCCTATCAAACTCACTAAGTTGACGAAATCGTACAGGTCTCCGTACTCTAGGCATCGTAACCGATCGTAAAGGATGTCAAGAACCAAAATCCGCCAACGTTGATTCTTTACTGCGGCTGAAATATTCATTTTTAGAGCGTTAGTGAATTAAAAAAAAGCAGTATAAAAACCGGAATGTCCAACTGATAAGGCTGAAATTTTTTCCACTTGTTATTTACAGTAAGTTGAATACATTCACCAACTTTTATTAAAATAAAACCATTTAAACTGGGTGTTCGGATTTATATGTCACTTAGTATAGTAGTCGCTTTCCACAAAATGCTTCGATACATATCCTTGCGCTATGTAGGTACATCAAATTTGAGTTGCCGATAACATGTCTGAACCCATTGTTCGCAGACTTGTTTGTTCTTTGGAAAATTGAAGGATCGCCTATTTGAAACGTTTTGGCTCTCCTTGCTGGTGTTGCTTGAACAAGCCACCACTGCACACTACACCATAGTTGAATATTTCATTGACTGTTAAATATAACTTACGTAACTGCGATTCTTAATACCAAATGGCGGTTTTTGCAAAATTTGTACAACGTACTATCAGTAACTTGCACTATTTCTGTTGCCTACTTTGTGATTATGTGACGCAGGTTCCATTCGTTTGGATTGGCTGCTACTCCGGAGATGCTGACTCTTATTGAATCGTGTCCGGATTTTAAACAGCATAAACAGTAATCAGATTCAATGATCTAATAGCACTGCATCTATGCACAGATCCGTTAATCCAGCTCAATGCAATCTTTATACTTGGTCATACTTCATGCATTACATATTTTGTTCCTCGCATAGCAACACTTTGTTGCGTGAATCAGTAGACTACACAGTCGAGCAAGTTCGCAAGCAGACAAGGTCGCGGCCCGCACTGTGAACCAAATTAAATCGTGAGATTTTGGGCCCAATAAAATTATAATTTTTCTCCAACAACCAATCTCAAACTTAACGAAAATTTTTCTCCTTGCTTTCTATCCTTCCTTCCTTCCTTTCTTTATTCTTACCTCCTTTCGCCGTGATTTCGTCTGATATCTGAGCAACCAGACCCCACAGACTTACTGACTCAGTGACAATACTTTAACGAAGAGCGAAGGGCCTTTGGACCCCTCTGACAGACAATGACGAATAGATATTTTGTTCCAAAAATATGCTTCATATGCTATCCTACGAGCTTGCACCCACAAACCATGATAGCGCAATGAGTGTTGCAGCGGTTTAAACAAATGTGGCATTGACGACATACGACAGAATCCCATCAGAACTGTACATGTTTTTTTACATAATAAGTATGCAATAAATTGAGTCCTGGAAGAGGGGCATGAGTGACTTTAAAACTATCGACATCGATTGCTCATCAACATCAAAAAATAAAAAACTATACCAGCAAAAAGAGAACCTTTTCTTCTTCTTAAAAAACATTTGTCTAGATAAATTTATATTACCGCATTTTTTGAAAAATATTGGCGCAGAAACTCAGTGGCGAATAGGTAGATTATAAACGGAAACAGGAGAGAGAAAGAGACTGTACGTAGACTAACATTATGGGTGCATCCTCTATAACCTCTCATAGAGGCTTTGCAGTTAGGTGGCCGACTTCCTTTGTCTGTCGTATTTGATAGGTTCTATTTATATTCCACAATGTAAACGCGAGGTTCCCCAGGGATTCATTTTCAGGCCGATCTCAATAACTGAGATCGAGAGAAGACTGGTAGCATCTTTCGAAAGATGGCTATCATCACCTGGAGACAATAATCTGTCACAGGTTAATGCTTATTTGCGACGTTACTGTATACTTTATCTGAAGTCACTTGAAATAGCATAAAAACCTTTGGTCGGCGCGTCCTTTGTAATTTCATGACGTATCATAGGCGTGCGGTCATTTATTTAGAACGATAATAATAATGTTTTTATATCACAATAAATGGATTTTACTATCTTCTTATTTTTTTGATTTGGGATAAAAAATACTTATATTGGGAGTTTAATTTATGTTGACTGAAAGTTAAGAAATGGAAAAATTACAGAATTCCAACGTTTGACATAGGCAAATATTTACATAGCAGGTAGGTATATAAAAAGGTATATAAAGACTTACATTATAGGTATTTATATATCATCCTCGCCTTCGGAGCTGTCGCTAGAGTCATCTTGTAGAGGAATTACAACGGGATTTACAGGAGGCAAAACACAATATTCATTTTCTTTTTCAATAATATGCCTAGAACACTGCTTCCATAGGTCTGTGGCAGCAATATGAGATACTGCATCTCTTATTGTGGCCAATAGCGATTCACTTAATTGAGGGGTCTGATTATGTTTTCTTACTTTTTTTTTAAAGCAGCCCAGACCAGCTCAATCGGGTTAAAAATGCAGTAATAGGGAGGTAGACGTAATACTTCATGGCCATTTTGCTGAAGCAGATTGTCAACAACATACTCTTTTTCAAATTTTTGTCTTTTAATAAGATCCAGTAATATGGCTTTGGTTGATTTTTGTGGTATTTCCATTCCCTTATCCTTCATAAAATCAATAATGTCTTGTTTTTTTGTGTCTGTATTCGGAATTTTGTTTTTCTGTCGGGAATGGTATGGCGCATTGTCCATAATAATCACTGAATTTGGGGAAATGTTTGGTATTAACTGCTGCTCTATCCACTTTTCAAATAAGTCGGAGGTCATGTCCTCATGATAGTCGGCACATGATTCTTTGATATTTTTGGCAGATAACAGCAAGGCATTAGGTATAAATCCATTTTCACTGCCAGCATGGAGAATAATGATTCGTTTTCCACGGTTGCATGGTGCATTTAAAATGCACTTGTTGCTGTCGTCAACCCAGCCGTACTGCACAACATCATGGGTATCATACCACGTTTCATCCAGGTAAATCAGATTTCTTTTCTGCTCTCTATAGATTTTAACTTTGTGCAAAAATTCTTGGCGCAATTCAACGATTCGAGACGACTCCATAATCACCATTCTTTTATCTAATTTTTGGTATTGAAAACCACACAGTTTTACAATACAGTGCAGTGAGTCTAAGCATTTGTAATTATGAAAATCTTCAGGATAATCTTTTAATTTATCCCGTATCATTTCCAACGTGGGCACCAAATTTTCTTTATAAAATCCGTATATTATACGACGAATATCTTTCTGAAAACCCACGTCTATTCTTTTTAATTTTTGCCCTATGCGCTTTCTGTGGAAGGAATGGTTGACTACATCTCCCCTTTTTATAATCCGATAAATGGTAGACCGACTGATTTTTGTCAGGATACAAATTCTGTTTAAAATTTGATTTTGCGAGGAATCTGGATTTTCGTTTTTCAGCATCATACATATTTAGGATTACTCTTTGGGTCTGTTCCTCTAAATCTTTATGAAAGAATTCTACCTGCACAGGTTCATCAACCATCTCCTCGTGGCTTGGAGCATTTTCCCAAGGTCTCCAAAGAGCCATATTTAGGACACACAAGAACAATCAACACAACAATTAAATCAACAAGTAAACAGAGTATTCAAAAGTCAAAAACACACAAACTAATAAAATCTATGAAAAAACACGGACAGACTAAAGAAAACACGGTTATTCACCGCTACACGGCACTGGCTAAACTGTTTCAATTTTCAGTAGCCACCTGCACTTGTTCCGAGCTCTGAAATACACGCTTTCTCATTGGCTATGTCCACGCATAGGCGTGCTTTACTCCACGTGGACCGGTGAAACTGCCTTTGATCTTATACGGGGGATATTTGCTGCGAAATTTGGCGATTTTTGCAGCAACAGAGCGTGTTAAATATAGATATATAAAACGCACCCAGTATTTTACAGTGTTTCAAGTGACTTCAGATAAAGTATACCTAAACTTATAAGATCCGAGCATTGCCAAAAATGTCACTATTCGCTTCGGCTTCTTGTGGTTCACCGTACTGATTATATAGTTTGGAGGAGAAGCTCTTACATCGGTGAAAGGCGTCTGCCAGACTTTGTCTTCTCATTTCAACTCTATCAATTCTTTTCATCTAGAACTGGCTGTTTTGATCTAAAGATGTTGATAGTGTGCATCCCAAGACTTCCACAGTTACTGTAACCCTAGACAGTTCAAAAGTTGAATCTTCAAGATATACATCAATAGGTGAATGACTAGTTAAGTTTTCTATTTATATTTTTCTATTTCAGCACAAACGTTCGCTTCCCGCCACCACTGTCTCCTCATTCGCGAAACGTCTGAAGCAAGCCGAGGCAGCGGCCGATAGGGACAACAACAACTGCAGCAAAAGCAGGAAGACTCCACAGCTATCTACCGGCAACAAGATGACCGTCACGGTGACAGTGACAGCAGACCCGGCCAAGAAACAGGCTACGAACGGTGGTACCACGACGCCCGCCACGGCACCGACGGCGGTACCGACTGTCGTTCCCGCCACCGGGGGCGGCGGTATTGCTCCGACGGGGGCGCATGCCAAGAGGCAGCTGGCCAGGTTGGCGAGTGTCGCCGTTAAGGCGGACTGTAGGTGAGGTTTTATGTTATGGTTCTATGCACTGGACGCTACTCACCGTGATGAAATGCTGCAAACGCAAGGGCTGTGTTGACTATATATCATATTTTTGGAGAATCTGACACCCCTGACAGAACAGCTTCGTACTGTATTGAGCTTGATTTTTCGAAAGCTTGCGGTGCAACTATCCACGAACTCCTCACTGGATAACAAATTTTAGTTTTTTAATTGTATCTTGTGGGAAAAGTGCACTTCTTTGTTAATTTTGGGGCGCTGAATCCAAAAATGACAATGAAATAAAAAAAATAGTTGCGGTTTAGAAAAAAAACTTTTTATTTTTAAGGATATATTAAAAAAGTAACAAGATTCATATACTTATAAGAATTACTATATGCGCTGTCTTTCTGCTGTTCTTTTATGGATCGTTTCTGGAGCATCTCTACCAAGAGTCCAACAGTAGTCTGCGAGCATGGAAGGATTCCACTTTCCCTGGCACCTTTTTTCCATTGTTGAAATATCCTAATGAAAACATTCGCCGTGCTCATCACTTACGGCTCCGCAATTGTCAGGAAAAAATTCCAGGTGTGAGTGTAGGAAATGTATCTTAAGAGACATATTACAGCCCATCTTTTGATACGATGACAGCATATTTTTGACAAGGGTTTTATAGTTGTCAGCTTTTCTATTTCCCAAGAAATTAGTGACCACCAGACGGAAATCATTCCAAGCAGTTTTTTCAATACCTGTTAAAGTGTTTTCAAACTGTGTATCTTTCAAAATATTTCGAATCTGTGGCCCAACAAAAATACCTTCTTTAACCTTTGCCTCACTTAGTCTTGGGAATTTCTGACGCAGGTATTTAAAAGCTGACCCATCTCTATCTAATGCCTTGACAAAGTTTTTCATTAGGCCCAACTTGATATGCAGTGGTGCTAATAAAATTTTTTTCGAATCTACTAATGGCATATGCTGTACATTTTTTTGACCTGGCTCTAGGAATTGACGAACAGGCCAGTTTTGTCTGGTGTAATAAAGTGCCTTTGCCCGACTGTCCCATTCACACAAAAAACAGCAAAACTTTGTGTAGCCTAGCTGCAGCCCGAGTAAAAGTGCAACAACTTTCAAATCGCCACAAATATGCCATTGGTGCTCATCGTATTTTATGCATGTCAATAGGTACTTCATATTGTCATATGATTCTTTCATGTGAACTGCATACCCTACAGGAAGAGATGGTAAAATATTTCCAATATGCAATAACACTGCCTTTAAACTCAATGTTGAACTGTCTATAAACAATCTCCATTCTTCTGGGTTATAGTTTATATTTAAAGCCGCCAGTAAGCCGTTAATGTTACTGCAGAAAACCAAGTTATTCTCCATCTTGAAAAATGGTTGTAAGTCTTTGTGGCGTTTACGAAAAACACATACCGAAACATCGTCTTCTAACAAGTTCCACTGCTGCAGTCTTGATCCAAGTAACTCTGCCTTACATTTTGGAAGTTCTAAATCTCTTACAAGATCATTCAATTCTGACTCTGTTATTTTGTGCGGTTGGTGGCATGACGTGCTCGGTATATCAGGATCTCTTGACGTTGATGGCATATCTTCTTCCTGACGAATCACTCGATCGCCGTGATCTGATTCGTTTTCTGATTCGCAAGTGTAGGATTCTGGGGGTTTTGGAATAGGATTTTCGTCGCTGTGAGGCACAGGTCTCATCGCAGATGGTATGTTTGGGTAGTTAATAACCGATTTTTTTTTCTTGGACATACCTGTGGCTTGTCCAACACAAGGTACCATGCAAAAGTAACAATCACTAATATGATTTGTAGGCTCTCTCCAAACCATTGGGACAGCAAAGCGCATAGACCGTTTTTTGCCATTTAACCAGCTCCTCAGACTTGAAGCACATGTATTACAGCAGATGTGGGGTGCCCACTGTTTGTCTTGATCACCTAGTTTACAACCGAAATAAAGCTGATATGCCTTTGTTATTAGTGGAGTAATAGACCGTCTTTGAGACGCAAAAGTCACATCACCACACACGTAACAAAACTGATCTGGATTGTTTACACACTTTCGAGACATCTTGCATGAACGCTGTCAGCCAACTGAGGAAAAAATGGCTAATATAAAACAATATAATGTACACGTATGTATAACGTAACACAATCATGCCGATTACATCATCTTTCCTTGCCGAATATAAAAATGTAGCACGTGCACTCTTGCGAATTACAGTATATTAACACTGTCACAGCAGGAACACATATAATTACCGTATCTCTAAAACTTGAACTAATATTGAAAAAATAAGTTTCATTCCGGTTTTAACACAAAATAGTAATATTTTGTTGATTTTATTTAGGATATTTTTTGGCTGTTGATCAGTGTTATGATCAAAATTCAATTATTTCTGACTTTCCGAAAATAACGTGAATTTCTGGCACTATTTAAATAGCAGAAGTCAAAAATTGAGGCGATGATACCAAAATGTTTCTATCATTGCACCGAAATAATTATGAAAACGCTACGTCACTTATAAACAAGGATCTTGAAGTAATCAGTTCAGCCTTATCAGTTGGACATTCCGGTTTTTATACTGCTTTTTTTTAATTCACTAACGCTCTAAAAATGAATATTTCAGCCGCAGTAAAGAATCAACGCTGGCGGATTTTGGTTCTTGACATCCTTTAAGATCGGTTACGATGCCTAGAGTACGGAGACCTGTACGATTTCGTCAACTCTTGAGTTTGATAGGGGCCGTATAGTGGGACTTCGGGAAGCTGGACTTTCTTCTCGGGCAATTGCAGTTAGAGTGCAAAGAAGTGTAGACACTGTGGTTAGGTGTTGTCAGGCATGGCTTCGAGAAGGCCGTACGCAAAGAGCAAGGGGCACTGGACGCCGCCGTTGAACAACAGACCGTGAAGATCGCCGCCTAAGATTATTGACCTTAAGGGACCGTTTCTCCACTACCAGGTCCATTGCAAATGAATGGTTTGCAGAACACGGAAGACCTATTGGCATGCGAAGTGTTTACCGACGAATGAGAAGTTTTGGCTTGTTTTCATACCGGCCACACTGGGTCCTCCCTTTAACTTGAGAACACCGACGTAATCGCCTTGAGTGGTGCAGACAACGGTCACTCTGGGATCAGGAATGGAACAGTATTGTCTTTAGTGACGGGGTCTCGATTTTGTTTAGGCATGCACGATGGTCGTGCCAGGGTTAGAAGGCGACGTGGTGAAAGGAGGAATCCACAGTTTTTTGTTGAAAGACATGTTCATCACACTGTTGGAGTTATGGTTTGGGGTGCTATAGCTTATGGTTCCAGGTCACCTTTAATCTTCATCAGAGGTAACATGAACGCGCAGCGTTATATCCACGAAGTTCTAGAACCCCATTTTTTACTCTATCTTGACACCCTGGCAGATCCAACTTTCCAACAAGATAATGCCCGACCACATGTTGCAAGAGTCACAATATACTTCTTTCAACATAATGATGTCATATTGTTACCATGGCCACCAAGATCTCCCAACTTATCCCCAATTGAGCACGTGTGGGATATGATGGGTAGGAGATTGCTCAATTTGCAACGTCCTCCTCAGACTCTAGAAGCACTTCGAGAGGAGTTGGTGGTTGCCTGGAATGAGATACCACAGGAGGACATTGACCACCTGATACACATCAGGGTGCATCCACACATTATTAAAGGTCAAAGCAGTGAAATTTTTATCATTTACTTATTATGCTCCATTAAGTACTTATACAAAATTTTATTAAAATAAAACCATTTAAACTGGGTGTTCGGATTTATATGTCACTTAGTACATTTCCAATTATTGCGAGGAAACGAAACCTATCTCACATGACAAATTCTCATAGATGACGCAAGGATATCTCATTTCGTCTCGGTTAACTTTTTTAGCGTCGAAATACAGTGGACACTTGGATATCTTCAGGTATAATATGTTGGTCAAAGTTGTAACCAATATTTTTCTTTTCAGTCCGATGGAAAAACTGGCAAAGTTGAAGAAGTCCAACGCGATGGCGATCGCGACAGCTGCTGCGGCAGCCGCGTTGACGCAAGATGGGGTGCCAAAGATGCAGCAGGGCAAAATAACCGAATACTTCAAGTCGCAAATATCGAAGTCTAACGGCATAAAAAAGGATCTCTTGAACCGGCTGAAGAAGCCGATGGTCGGCAAATTGGTAGACCAACAGACGCAGTTCAACAGTCTGAAAGCGCAGTGCCAACGGAAGGAGTCGAAACCGAGTCAGAAGAAGATGGCCGCTTCGAAGGCGAAGAAGATTACGACGGTTCCCAGGAAGATCCTGCCAGCACCAGCGAATGGTCAGGATAAAATGGCGATCAACGAACATACGGTAAACAGAGACGTCAGCGATGAAGCATGTGAAACCAACATCTTCGCACATCATTGCATTTGTTACAAGACCAATAGTTGGATATGACAATTTGTCTTTTGCTAACCCAACATAATCATGAGCATAAATATCTCACGTCACAAATGTCTGAGGATTTGCTTAATCTATTAATAACATAGGAAACGTATCCCTTTTGAATCCATAGTTTCATTTTTTGAAGATCGCTTCCCAATAACCTATCTGGCAAGATAGGGACCACAAACAAGTAAATCCCTTACTAGGTGTATTATTTATAAAACAAGGGCTCTAAAAAATTGGGGAATCGTTATGTGTCGTGATCCCACTTTGACGTGAGACTAGTCCATAATGTTCGTATACTTTTAGGATTTTTTCTAGGGGCATTTCTTATAGACTTTCTAACTGCTTTTAACAATCATACTGAGTTAGCTACAAACCTTCCCTAAACCATTCAAATTCGCGTGTCTGAATTCCACTTTAGGTGTTATTCTAGTTTGGAAAATATTTTGGGAAAACGTTTCTACCATGTAAAAGATTCGTGGGGCTTTCAAACTCAATTAATACCATCTACTTGTGTCATTCGATGTCGTATCCTTATATACTATCTTTCCAGTTGATTTTGCCATAATGCATTGAGTAACGTTTGGATGATTTAGATATTTCAAAACTGCTGCAGAGTTTTGTTTGAAGACAACTTATTTCAAATACAAGAATAACTACCTTTCTCAGATATTTGGCAATGCAAGTTCCTCTACCATTGCAAACTTAGTTTGTCAGTCAAGCCATTTTTTTAAGAAATATATAGATGAATGTCTACTCTGCATACATCAAAACCACATGGAAAACATTTTTAATGAATTCAATAATTTCCATCCCAGACTTCAGTCGAGGTCTACGAATACATCAACCATTTTTATTAGAAGTATAATAGGATAATATTTTTCAATATCCGCGTTCTCTAAATATTTGTAACACTTGACGATATGAACTGTCAGCGTTGTAACTATTGAACTTGTAGACAAAATACTTGCAGATGCGGAAGTTATAAAATCATGGGTAATAATTCTCCTTCTTTGTTTTTTGTTAGGCTATACCTGATAATATCCTAAATGATACATTTTCTGACTTCAGATAATGGTTTCACATGCATAATCACGGGTGTGTGTGTGTATATCACCTACATATATGGGATATACAGTTTTTGGTAAATGCAAATCACAAAGCTGGAGGTACATACACCTGAATTTTACAGGTTCCTGTAACTTGTGAGTATGGGATGTTACGACGTTCCTGTTATCGCTTTTCAGTCCAAATATAAGACAAACTAGTGTGATTATCCCAATGATGATGAATCAACCACTCCTAACAATCACTCCTTTATATCAAATCTTAGGGCTATTACATTGTACAATATTCATCAATAAATTAAATGACTAAATTTCAAACTATCATTAACAGTTTCTTTGACTCTTTATGCAATTCTGTTCGTCTGTTAGCAACTCTGTAAACTCCAACCTCTCAGTATCCTATACAGAGTACATGAAGTGCCAATATTGCATTTAATTCTCAATTCCTATCTGTTACACTCGTTTGCCTTATATCAGCTGCTTGACCACATTTCCACTTTTTCATACTCTTATCATTTTTCTTTCCATGTTTCAACGTATATTATAACACATATCATCTAAAAAACCCATACACCTATCGCTGTTGCAATCAAAACATTGTAGGGGCACTCCATGCCATCTTTAGTACTTGTAACCATTCTTTAAAAGTTTTGGACGGATAGACGAAATATATCGAACAGAAATTTAGAAAGAGTGGTCAGGTAAGGTAAGATCGCATGGATTTACTTCACACCATATTGCAAAGTATAAACAAATAATTTAATCCTAACGTTTCATTTTTATTTCGAACGGTACATTCGCTACCCCGATAGTATTAAATATTTATTAAATATTTTTATAAAATGTTTGTTAAATATTTCCAGCCACAGATTTTTTATATATTCATTATAGATATTCGTAGTATATATATATATATATATATATATATATATATATATATATATATATATACCTTGAGACATGGTCATTGTCGTCTAGACCTGTTAGGTGAAAAATAAAGCTTCCGGTTGGGTACTTCGTAAAAATTCAAGCAATGAGGAATCTTTATACTTTATTAGTCTCTAGCTTTCAATGGACTATGTCGTCATCATCAGGAACTGCAATAACATTAAGAAGAAATAGCAACTATTGTGCAAAATGATTTTAAATTACTTACAATGTGAGATTGTTGCTAAATGTCTCACATACTATTGTAAGTAATTTAAAATCATTTTGCATAATATTTGCTATTTCTTCTTAATGTTATTGCAGCTCCTGATGATGATGGCATAGTCCATTGAAAGCTAGAGACTAATAAAGTATAAAGAGTCCTCATTGCTTGAATTTTGTCAGATATATATATATATATATATATATACATTATATATAATTCATAAACTTTTACGATATTTTTTCAAATATTTAGAAAATATGAGGCAAGATTTTTAAATATCAAATTTATATTTTGATGAAATATCTAATATTTTTCGTAAATATGTATGGATTTTCAAGCATTAATCTGATACATATTTTCAGCGTATATAGAAAATTCTTCATTGGTTATTTTAGCAAAATTTGTAGGAATGCTCTTATAAAATTGGGTTCATAAAGAAAATTCATTCTAGGTATAATGCCTTAATTTGCTAGAAAAATATTAAAAAGCATTCTAAGCCTCTTCTGCATCTTGCAAATCTACTTCTCTGAAAAAAAAAACTTACTAATTATGAAGTATTATTGAATACATAAGCTGCTGAGTAACTGCTAGTAGCTCAACTGGGTCACTGAAATGCAGCTCTATAATGCACCTAAAAGGACCCCCCATTTCCTTCCTATGATAGTTCGAGACTTGGTTAATTTATAAGAAAATTTGGTATGTTATTTTAGATATTTTGATGAAAAATGTCCATGGGCAATACTTTGACTAACTTTCAAAGAAAAGGATTTTAAAAATAGACCGCTTATTGATTTTTTTGAAATGCGACTTTTTTGTAGTAGGTATATATTGTAATTCAAGGGACAGAAATATAGTATTTTCGGCTATTGGTATATCACTTTGAACTTGAAAATTTCAAAATAGTTACGTCTGATTTGCCCCTTACTTCGACAAAAATAATAATAGTAATTGAGATATTTAAAAAAAGCATTTTTGATCTCGATCAAGTTGCGATTATATGACCTTTCATTGGGATGTTATGAATATAATTTTCGTATCCATTCTCAGATAAATCCATCAATCCCAAATAACTGATACACGTCAAGGCTAATTATTTATGGTCTTGTAAATACCTTCATACTCAACTGGCACAATAATGTTTACTAGTCAGATAAATTAAGCTATGTACTTATCGAAAAATTTACCCTTTTCCCTTTTCTACAAAAAAAACACTCAAATAATGTACCACTTCGAGATACACAGGAAGCACGCTATCATAGTGAAACTCACAGGCAAACTCGACGCCGACAAACGGGTCTAAATAATATTTTTCATTGATTGAAAAGTAAATATTTAATGAATATTGTAATAGAAGTATTTAAAAATATTTAAAAGATACTGAATAAATATTTAATAAAAATATTATATTCCAAATATTTATTAAATATTTTTTTAAGAAAACAAATATTTAAGTAAAATATTGAATGAATATTTCGTGCTATCGGAGTATTCCTTCCAAATTACTATATCCTAACTTATGGATGAATCGAATCTTATTATCACAGTAAAAAGTAACATTCGCTATTCCTTCCAATGTACTATATCGTTACTTTTAGCAAAATCTTATTAACAATTTAAAATGTAAATTATTTTAAGTTACAAAAAGTCATGAGAGCAGCAACTGCAAAATATATGTCGAATTCTTCTAAATTACCTTTGCTGATACGAAACTACCATTTCATTGGGGAATATTGCCCGTATCAGATATTCTTTGCTTATGGTCGCAATGTTTTCATATGCATGCAAATTGTAAGCCACGTTCTTAGCTCCAAAATTCTACTAGAAATACTACATCTTCAGCACCATATCAAAATATTCATATTTTGATGTCACTAAAATATTCTATATTAATAAAGCTCAGTTTTTTAAACTGATATATCCCTGGCAATTTGCTAATTACAGTTTGCTAGTGGTCTAGTAAAATCAAACATCGATGGAAATGTCTAAGAGGAGAACACATATGTCATTGAACAACACTGCTGAAGCGGCCAAAATATTAGTAATGAGTGAATTACTAATTTTTGGTGGTACGAGTATATCAAATATGCAACCACAAGATAAGTTCCAGAAGGAAGTTTGGTTCCAATTTTATTGGAACACTTTAAATTACAAACACCGCACGTCTCTATGAAAGAAAACATAACTCATAAAAATAGAAACACCTCACTATAATACTACTGGGAGCTAAGGCCCTGGCAGTACCTGAACCGCATATTCAACACCATCTTTTCTTTCCGTATCCAGCTGAACAACCTGAAGTTCACTCCGACGGTGACGTTGACCGCACTGAGCTTCCCTGCCCAGAACTACGCGTACCTTCATCCGGCAGCAGCTAAGACTCCGACAGCGCAACCGTACGTGCAACAATTCACTGCCATCACCAACGACAAAATCCCCATCCCCATCATCAATCGAACGCCATGTTTGAACGGACTCAACGTCATCCAGCCCGTTCAAAAGATCGCTACCATCAACAACTTCAACTGCGTCAAGTTGAACACTGTCGTGCCTATCGTTAAGGTAAGTAAGAGAAATACCACCCGCAGAAAACAAGCTAACACCAGACGTATTTTTTTTAAATACGTAGTCATGTCATCAGATTCCTTATTTAGTTACAGTTATCATTCACGATTCATCCAACAAACTAAAATTTGATTGTTATCACAAACCCTCTTTCTCCGAAAGACTCGTTAATTTCAATTGAGTACACCCACAAAGACATAAAATTAATATCATAAATAATATAAAATATACAAAATATATACAATATATAAAATATATAAAATATATAAAATATATAAAATATATAAAATATATAAAATATATAAAATATATAAAATATATAAATATATAAAATATATAAAATATATAAAATATATAAAATATATAAAACATATAAAATATATAAAATATATAAAATATATAAAATATATAAAATATATAAAATATATAAAATATATAATATATATATAAAATATATAAAATATACTAAGTGACATATAAATCCGAATACCCAGTATAAATGGTTTTATTTTAATAAAATTTTGTATAAGTATAAGTACTTAATGAAGCATAATAAGTAAATGATAAAAATTTCAAAATGATTGCACTGCTTTAAAGCCCTTTGACCTTTAATAATGTATGGATGCACCCTGATGTGCTACGCATTCTCCAACGCGCCTAGGCATGCTTCTGATCAGGTGGTCAATGTCCTCCTGTGGTATCTCATTCCAGGCAACCACCAACTCCTCTCGAAGTGCTTCTAAGAGTCTGAGGAGGACGTTGCAAATTGAGCAATCTCCTACCCATCATATCCCACACGTGCTCAATTGGGGATAAATCGGGAGATCTTGGTGGCCATGGTAACAATGTGGCATCATTATGTTGAAAGAAGTCTATTGTGACTCTTGCAACATGTGGTCGGGCATTATCTTGTTGGAAAGTTGGATCTGCCAGGGTGTCAAGATAGGGTAAAAGATGGGCTTCTAGAACTTCGTGGATATAACGCTGCGCGTTCATGTTACCTCTGATGAAGATTAATGGTGACCTGGAACCATAAGCTATACCACCCCAAACCATTACTCCAACAGTATGATGAACATGTCTTTCAACAAAAACTGTGGATTCCTCCTTTCACCACGTCGCCTTCTAACCCTGGCACGACCATCGTGCATGCCTAAACAAAATCGAGACTCGTCACTAAAGACAATACTGTTCCATTCCTGATCCCAGAGTGACCGTTGTCTGCACCACTCAAGGCGATTTCGTCGGTGTAAGGGTTAGAAGGCGACGTGGTGAAAGGAGGAATCTACAGTTTTTTGTTGAAAGACATGTTCATCACACTGTTGGAGTTATGGTTTGGGGTGCTATAGCTTATGGTTCCAGGTCACCTTTAATCTTCATCAGAGGTAACATGAACGCGCAGCGTTATATCCACGAAGTTCTAGAACCCCATCTTTTACCCTATCTTGACACCCTGGCAGATCCAACTTTCCAACAAGGTAATGTTGCAAGAGTCACAATAGACTTCTTTCAACATAATGATGTCACATTTTTACCATGGCCACCAAGATCTCCAGACTTATCCCCAATTGAGCACGTGTGGGATATGATGGGTAGGAGCTTGCTCAATTTGCAACGTCCTCCTCAGACTCTAGAAGCACTTCGAGAGGAGTTGGTGGTTGCCTGGAATGAGATACCACAGGAGGACATTGACCACCTGATCAGAAGCATGCCTAGGCGCGTTGGAGAATGCGTAGCACATCAGGGTTCATCCACACATTATTAAAGGTCAAAGGGCTTTAAAGCAGTGCAATCATTTTGAAATTTTTATCATTTACTTATTATGCTTCATTAAGTACTTATACAAAATTTTATTTAAATAAAACCATTTAAACTGGGTGTTCGGATTTATATGTCACTTAGTATATATAAAATATATAAAATGTATAAAATATATAAAATATATAAAATATATAAAATATATAAAATATATAAAATATATAAAATATATAAAATATATAAAATATATAAAATATATAAAATATATAAAATATATAAAATATATATAAAATATATAAAATATATAAAATATATAAAATATCACCCTTCGCCACTACATTATTACAGAACAATACGCAAAATAATAGCCCCACCACCAGTGATACTGCTGAAGCCAGAAAAGTATACTTAAAATTCTGTATGTAAAAAATTTGTTGGCGAAATTGGTGAATGATAACACACAATTAATATTGCAAGTAATGATGAAAATAACAATCCGAACATTTGTTTAAATAATCTTAATGACAAAATTCCAACAGAACAACAATCGAATATTGTAAACGGAAATTCATGCAAAAGTCTAATAAAGCATGAATAGGGACAACAAAAACTCGATTATCAAAGCACAAAAGAGATTGGAAGAATTTCCACCTACAAGAGGGTCACAACTAGTCCAACACATGTTTTCAGAATGTCCCGTGTTTAATTTTGATTTTTGCGAGGTCCTATTTAGGAATGATAATTATAACAACATGATTTTCCAGGAAATGTGGAAGCCATACAGCACAAGAATGCAATTAATAAAAGAACATAATAGCAGATTTAAGTATTATGTCATCATCATTTACGTCATGAAAACACAGGTACAACCACCACCTAGAATTTAGGAGCAACAAAAAGGAAAGCATCAGATATAGCAAAAAATGGCTTAGATTTTTATTATTCAAAAGTACCTTTCTCCTTTCCACCAATCTGTGTTAAGCTATACCCCAGAACAGTCTTCCATTGTTATATGGATGAGTTGTAGTCTGAATGATAATATCTGAGATGCATAACGTTGGATTATTTTTTACCACCATAGTTTCTAACTAAAATGGTGCGTTTCTGAAACACTGAAAAAAGTTTTCATTCGTTTTGAATATCTCTCTAAATCACTTTCTTTGTTTCTCTTTTATGTATAATTAGGGTTTTTAAATTTCTTTTTGTAGAGCCCTAAAGCAGGAAATTAATTTTTCAGAAACGTCGGCAACTTTGCAACAAGAAATTGTGTTTCTTTGGACTCCAAATCCAATTAATTACAAGACGTTTATATAGATGAGGGTCATAATTTTCAATCTTATTGTTGCCAATACTGTCCCATTCCCAGCGATCTGAATGAGTTAACCGTTTTCCGCGGACATCGTCATAAGAGGTGACACAAGGTTCCATTCTTGGGCCTGTTAAGAAATTAACAAATCGCGAAATAACGAAGTTGTAGTAACAATCTGCTTTTATAATGTCTAAGTGAAACAAGGAGTTATAACCACATTGTTGTTTAGGTGAACGCCCTACCCATCGCAATCGGCACTCCGGTACCCCCGCAGCAAGCTGCCCCGCCCCCCTCCCTCCCCGCCGTAGCTTTGAGCGTGGAGACGGCCCTGCCTACGGTGCTGCCCGCCAAGCCAAGGGTACCGGAGGCATCAGTGCCGTTGGTATCACAAACCACGCCCGCCACCCCGGTACAACCAATCAGCAACGTGCTACTGTGCAGCAGGACAACCGAGCCGCAGGAGTGCCAGGTGCAGACGGAGCTAAGGGAACAACAACAGGAGATCAGGGAGGATAAATCGCCTTCGGATAGCGATAGCGGGATATCGTCGAACAGGTGAGATTTAAGACATTATAGATCATCATGTTTTTATATGGATGCAATTAAACAGTGGTTCAGGTTATACAGTTGAATTAAACTGGATGTTCTGGAACCAGTTTAAGTGAAAGTAATGTACTATTAAACTAATTTGCTTTAAAATAGCGAACCATGTACCTGTTTTCTAAGTTTATTGATATCTAAGATTTGTGAGAGCCTAGTTATATGACGGTACATCATTAAGTAAAATGCAGTTTATATTTTAAGTACCAAATTTTACCCAAATACCCTTTTAAATCTAAATAAAATAATTCATTTGAAACTAGGCTGATACTTTTACCTAAACTAATTAAACAAATTTAATAAACACAATTAAATTGTTGAGCAAGTAAAATCATTCTAATAGTTCACTAATTTTAAATAAATCTCAACTCAATCTAAGTAAATAGTTTAATAAATTTAATTAAATGAGGGCTTAATTAAACTAGTTTCGTAGATTCAAGTAAATTGTTTTAGAAATGCGAGTTTAAATAAGCCAATTAAAGTTCTGAGCTGTCACATAGTTAATTAATCTTTTCAGTTGGCTCCTTTGAAATTTTAATTAATATAGTTATTATATAATATAATTAAGTAAAATGCAGTTTATCTTTCAAGTACCACATTTTATCCAAATATCCTTTTGAATCTAAATAAAATAATTCATTTGAAACTAGGCTGATACTTTTACCTAAACTAATTAAACAAATTTAATAAACACAATTAAATTGTTGAGCAAGTAAACTCATTCTAATAGTTTACTAATTTTAAATAAATCTCAACTCAATCTAAGTAAATGGTTTAATAAATTTAATTAAATGATGGCTTAATTGAACTAGTTTCGCAGATTCAAGCAAACTGTCTTAGAAATCGGACTTTAAATAAACCAATTAAAGTTCTGAGCTGTCAAATAGTTAATTAATCGTTTCAGTTGGCTCCCTTGAAATTTTAATTGCTTTAATTATTTTCTCCCCAGTGTGATTGGCATCTTTTCTTTCTAAGGTTAAAATATGCAATACTCTCATTTCGAACGACTTGGTTTTGCGCTTAATCAAATAGATATGGTCTGCAGATGTAAGAACGTAGTACTCAAAGATTGGTAGAAATATCAAAATAACGTTACCAAAAGTGGACTGCGTCATACAAATTCAAATTCAATTCGAACTCTTTATTATCATCAGAGATGTCATAATTTATGTATACAACATGAGCATAAAATAAAAATACGTATAAAACAAACAGATAAATAGCTGTAAATCATAAAATAACAAACACAGAGACGGCATAATAACATTTACTTACGAGAAATTCTTAGCCTGAAAATTATTTATATCTCCACACTCTCGCACGTGACTTGGTAGCCTGTTAAAAATGGGTGAACTCAGCATTTCGGGAGATGTGACGCCGATTCTATACATGGCAAAACACACATTTCTCCAGCTTGTCTGGTCGAGTACGAGTTAAAACCATTTAAGAACCTATTTTTGTTAATAAAATTATACACAGCCGTTTCGTATAAAAATAATGATAGTAAAGTTAACAGACAAAACAAATAAATCATAAAATAACAAACACAACGACAGAAAAATACTATTTACTTACAAGAAATTCTTTATATCTCCACATTCTCTGATGTGATTTAGAAGCGTATTGAAAATGGGTGAACAAACAAGCATAACAGATACTAGTGGAGCTTCAACAAGGACCGTTCGCAACTTTCCCATGAGATATGGTTGGGAACTTATCTTTAAAGCAATACAAACAGATCCAGTGAGTTTTGTAGTTGTCGTCGTTCGATTCAAAAAACATAATTTGGTGCTCAAATGAGTACAACTTTTGTCAACCTCGACGTTTTTGCAAACGGGCTGTGTTCCCAGCTCTTTGTACAAGGTAAACAAATTGTCCGTCCTGTCCCGGAACGATCTGAATAAGTCTTGAAGCTTCGACAGCATGTGGAAAACATTGACCGTAAACCGAGAAGTTAGTTATTGCTATAGGAGTGTGTCTCCTTTAATTTTTTTTAATCCGATTTACAATCATGCGCTCTCACCGTTCAAGTGAATAACACCCAAAATCAAGAACACTCTGTATTTATGTAACAACTGTAACTGTGATCGAATTATAGCAACTCGTTCGATGTCATAACCGATTAAATCGTAATTTCGATAGTCAATCATCACTTCTCGCATCAAATTTAATCGACCTAAGCTACAACACATTGAACGGACGATGCTCTACCGCAAATTTCTGATTCGAATTTAATTAAAACTTCATACCAGTTTACGTCCATAGGTGTAGATGAAGTTGGACATCGACAATGATTAACAAAGTTCAAGAGAAAATACCCAAATCAATAAATTGAAAGCAGTGCTTGCCGGGATCATTCACTTATGCTTATATACAGGGTAGAACAAAAGCCCTGGAACGATATTTGAGAATATTAAGTAAAATAGTAGGTATTTTTTCGCTGGCTATTCAGCGGTGATCTCAAATTTGACGTCAATCGTGACATTGGAGAACATTGAAGAACGATTTTTTTAAGCGTGACGCTATACCTTTGACTACGGAAATGGAAAGGGCGTTCAGAAGCTTATTTTCTCCTTGTCAAGGTCATCGTAAAAACCCTCGTTTCAAAAGATTTCAGGGATCTTTCTAGAGATAATTTCAAATAAGGACCCAAAGGCAGCACGGTAAAAAACATCGTTTGACAAATTTCAATGACACTTTTAAAAAATAAAGCAAAAAGTAGGACTCAAGGACAGTAGAGTCTTCAATTTCCCTGGCAATTCACTGATGACCTTGAAACTGTCCTTGAACATGACCTTGCCGTTCAAATCAGCGTTTAGACAATTTCTTCGCCCTAGTGATCACCGCCAATAATAGGGCGGAATATTTCACTTTTAAACATGACCTTGGCCAGGGAGGTTCGCTCAAGGTCATATCGAAACGTCAATTTTGATTTTATCCGTTTCTAAGGTCAAGGTATAGGAACCCATTAAAAAATCGTCTTGTCCTTTATTTGACCTTCAAGGTGAGGCTCTTTTATTTGCCACTAAAGATGAGGCTTAAGGTCAAATTTATAGTCACCACTGAATAACTTGAGAAAGTCCTGAACGTACTACTTGAGTGTTCCCAAATATCTTGCCACTCCGAGACATTTGGATTAGGTTGCCAAATCTCTGGCTTCTAAGAACAAGAAATCTTAGAAATAATTACTAATACGGTTGGGGGCGATCATTCCATATTTATGAGCGAACAATTTTCTTTAAAAGGGGTTGGGTATATTCTTGGAAAGCACATTATACACGGTATTAGTATTTCTTCAAAGCCCAGGATAGTATTCTTGAAGCTATGATGCCAAATGTTAGAAATGCCATAGACAAATCAGTATTGAAACGGACTTCCAGTGAATATCTCTGGAAATTGAAGCTACAACTCTGATTACTCTTAGCGCCACTTCTGCCATTTACGCCACGTGGTCACATTGTGTGATACACATTCAAGTTATAAACTCTTAGGATTCGGTCAGCTTAGTTTAGTTTCTAGAACTAAACAAAAACAGAAATTACAACCAAAGCACGTATTGTTGTCACATACCTAACAAACTAAATAAATTGAGAGATCCTTTCTCAGAATAACTAGCCCAGAACTTTTCTCGATGCCAGAGTAGAGAACAGAAAACACCGAATTTATAATAAGAAAAAAAAACGCACTGATGAACGAAAAAGAAATTTACATCATCGCTTTATGTCGCGGGTATGTCTGAAAATATAAAGTAGTTTCGAAACACAAAGTTCATGCAGTACATAAACCATAAACTAAAAACATATTTTCAAACCTAAAGTCCCCAATCGAAAAAAAATTGAAAATTGCCCAAGTTAATATATAGGACAGACTAAACAACATATATAAAGAAAAGGATATATAAGCATGAGTATGACATAAGAAATAAAAATGATATGTCCACCGCGTTAGCCAAACATGCAATTGACAATCGCCATGGATTTGGTTCAACATCTGTCAAAATTCTAGGCAAAGAACCGGACTACTTCAAAAAACATATGTATTTATAGACAGACACAAATAATCCATAAAGTACCTAAACGAATTTAATAAAAATAACGTACCTCCTGCATTCTCTCTTTCATACCACCACTCAATGGGAACAAATAATATTCTTGTATATATTTTTTACCTTTGCCTTGTTTTCATTTTTATTAGCAAATATTTATCACCAGTCGTTGACCAACACTCAAACTACCAACATCTGTCTGGCAGAAATGTAATTATTTTTACGAACTAGTAAGACTTTCTGTTTATTCATGTTACATTTTTTCTTCTTTTTTTTTCTTTTTTAACCTGTTTCGTGTTATAATTTCGGACACCTTTGTGTAGTTCTAGAAATTCTCATGCACCTGAAGATGGCATTTGAAGTAGCCGAGACATCGTATTTTCAGTAAATGTCTTGAGCTGACCAAATCCCAAGAATTTATAACATGGATTGATATCAACGGCCAGAAATACAAAAACTGCAAAAAACTGTGTGATATGTGTGACTGTGTCCTAATAGCAACTACGTTTGCATTACCGAAGGTAATTTGAAGCAAAACAACACCGTTAACGAGAAAAAGAAATTGAAGTTAAATTCTCACTATTCACGTAAGGAGTTTCAAGTAGGGCCCTGTCACATGTTTTGTTTGTAAACACTGCTTGAAGTTATCGCTTTTCGATTCAAAAACACGAATTTGTTTACCTCTTCTTAACCTTGCAACATTTGGGGCTGTCTAGGTCTTCAACAGTGTAAAACCAGACGGCTTTTGTACTATATAAACAAACATATTATGCAGCTTTGATGGGAAAAACATCGAGGACGACGGCAACGTTTTGAGTACACTCGCGGAGTATCAATAAGGTAACCGATACTGCGTTGTTGCTTTAGGAATGTACCAACCATGCGATGGCAGATTCAGAGATTGAGTCACATGGTCTTAGTACCCCATACGGTTTGACGTAGTTGGGGATTGTAGGAGGGGAGGGTGGTTGGGTCATTGATTAATTTATTGCTTTCTGGAACCTGATTTCCCGGTCTATTTTACTAAAAAAACATACTTATTATTGCTTGACCTAAGCGCTCTGTTAAGGAAAGTCCCAACATTGAGGACACCCTGTATGATCCATCCATTCTTTTCTTCTACAGAAAATTATTTTACCATTATCTACGTCTATGGACAAACCTCCGATAAGCGAAGTGGCTAATATCCTTGCTCTTGAAAAAAATCAGTTTATGTAGCGATATCGGTCGTAATGTGTGTGTATAGCTGTGATATGAACATTATTTTGAGCTATACGACCATTTAATCAATGCCACAGCGATAGTTGCTTTACATGGCCATTATAGCAGAATCGAAGCGCGAGTTATCTTAAGATATAAATCAACCAGCGATATTTCTTACGCTTCTTACTACTTGGAATTCCAATTCTCAACCTGCTGTAGTTAACGTCTATCTCAACAGATCTAAACAAAGTAGTTAGAACGGAAAGATTCCTTCAAAAAGAGGCCAGTACTTTTGTTTTCCAAAGTGGCACGATACCAAACCGACCTCTGAAAAAAAAAAGTTACTATATTAATAATTGAAGCCTTTGGTGCAAAAAGATGTTAACTAAAATTTTTTAGTTTGTAGATAATTGGCCTCAAAGTTTAAATCCTGACATTTTTTATTGAATAGCGTTAGGACTGCTTTTATTATTGAAGGTAATTATAGACACATATATGTAAAAGTATCTGGAATAGACAGTTTTATTGAAAAAATTGCTTTTATTATCAGAAATTTGTAAAAGATTGTTGAAAATCTGACCTTTTTAAAAAACTTATTTGCTTAGTCCGGAAAATGAAAGTAGCAGAAAGGTGTTAGTTGAATGATGTTATTTATCAAAACTAATCATTGTTCTTTTTTCTTATTACAAACTTACAAAAGTAATGACAAATAATCCACACACTGTAACTAATCGTCTCCTCTTCTTAACTTTTGATAATAGCCTCTAAAATTTGCTGCTATTAAAGGAATTTTTTCCGGAATGTTATCAAACTTTTTGGCCCCAATAGGTCGGCTTCTATCGACGTTCAATAATGATGGTTCGTTTTCTACTCTTCTATCCAGATTTCGCTGTTTTCTTATATCAACAATGGTCGAACTTTCCGTTTCATTTAAAAAAGTATCTGTACTTGGTTATACCAAATTCTTCAATCTGGATCCATCTTACATCTCTGATTCAAAATTTCTCATCAGTTGTAGTTTTTCTTGTCTATCTACCAGTTCAAGTTTTCTTGGAAGTTCTTGAATATCAACAAATTTGTCCGCCATTCTTGTGATATTAAAATGTGTTTTTTCCTGGCTTCTGCCATGATTGAAATATATTGATCCATCGTACAAAATAGGTGGTGCTTTCTGATAGACTTTTCTACTGCTACAAAATCTCTATCAGAGTCCGTGAAGGTATGTTCTATTTCAGGAAACTTATGGTCAATTTGTATGAACACTCCAGATATTATCAGGTAGTGCCATAGACAGACAATATAAACATTTTTATTTTGGCCACCTGCCGAATCACTCCATGCAATCAGATGATCGGAAGCCATGCCTTGGTCCTTGATATTTTCGAAAAAGGTCAATCTCTTCAGGGCCGCGATTTACTTGGTCTTCTGTCTAGACGTGAAAAACACTTTTACCATTTGGTTGCTGATATCAAATTTAATGTATTCCTAGATTGTGGAGCCATACTTGTAAATAGAAGGCTTTACTTGTAGAAATTTTCGGCAAGAGAAGCGTTTTTTTGTAAATCAACTGTGTGGTATATGATTTTTTCGTTTTTGCTGTTCAGATTTTTGTAACTCAAAAGCTTTTTTATACTTTGCAACATGTTCCTCATTCGATCATACCTCGCAAACATTTTTACATTTCAAACAAAAACTGAATTAACCCTTGAGTCAACATCTTTATACATATAATGCAAGAGTTAATACCTTTTAAAGTTTACAGATTGAAATTTTTCATATACCTAGTTAACATTTTTATGAATCTCTGTATCTAAGAACTGACAGCCGTCTTTGGCCGCATAGATGTACCGCACCCTTTTAACACATTTTTGCAGTACAAATCTTGGAATCCGAAAAAATTGAGTCAACACCTTTTTGAACCAAAGTCTTCAATTCAAAGCTTGGATTATTCGTTTTATCTCTGCTACTATGTGACATCTGAAAGTTTTACTTCGAGTATGCGTCAATCGAACCTTTCGTGGCGCATTATTGTGGGAAGGACACCCCATTTTCGCGTTCTGAATTAAAACACAATGTTGAAGTTTGATTTAAGTGATATTGCGCACATTGTTTCTATTTACGACGTTCTGGAATCTATGGCAAATAGTTAAAAGGGTACAAGTCAACGTTTGCTTCAGGATTTTTCGCCAAGGAGATTAGATGAATTTGGTCCTAGCTTAAATTTTGATTGTGATTTTAATGGCATTGCCTTCATATATCTACTTATACAGGGTGACTTCGAAGTTGAGTCATTTATTTTAACAGTGAGTAGATCTGATCAAAAGAAATGTTTTTTCCTTTACCATTTTTCTGGTAAAATTAAAGTAACAAAGTTATAGCCCTTTGGAAGTTTGAGTACCGCCCTGTCTCAATAATAATATTATGGCTCGTGTTTGGCGACAACGGATATAATTCGCCTTATCGGTTCATCGCATCGGAAACAAAAAAGCGAAAGAATTTGGAACGATGTTTTTACAATTATTTCATTCAGTTGTATACAGTCAGTGTCAGTCGGTAGTGGATAGTGGTGTCTGTTGCGTGGCTCAAACGAAATAAAAAATGGCACATGTTTATGCGGATCGGTTTCCCAATCGAGTGCAACCAACCCCTCGTGCCTTTGTTAATGTAGTACAACGGGTTCGTGAATCATTTGACTTAAGACCTCACATATGGACGGCATGCCGGTGCTCCAAGACCTCACGATCAAATACAGGTCCGCACTGAAATACTTGTCGGGAAGATACTTTGTAAAACAAGGTACATTTTTTTTTAATTTTTTTTTATTTTTACACACATATTTTGGTTTATCTTCCTTCTACAATCATTATCTGAAAATTAATGACTCAACTTCAAAGTCATCCTGTATATAATTTTACTGAAGTGTTCTTATCGAACACGTATAGATGTAAAGAAAATTGACCTATGCCCTTTTAACCATTTGCCGCACAAATGTTAGAACCTGAATCAGCCTTTTGAGTTCTCAATAAAAAACTTGTCGTTTATAGGGAATGCCTGGAGGTGAATGTGGACTTGGATTCGTCATCGTTAGAAGCAGAGCAAAAGTCGCCGATCCTGTCGCAGCCAAAGACCATTCGATTTCCTTGCAAACGGGACCAAAAGGAAGAGGGCAAGTCGCCGCAACATTCGACGGACGGCAGGTGCAGGTGGGAGAAGTGCGACCAGCGATTAGACACCAGCGGGGCCTTATTAGAACATCTACAGGTTAGTATTCAGGGACTTCATGTAAGCATACTCCTAGAATAAAAAGGGGCGCCAGTGGCGTGGGAAGTAAAAATGATCTTGTCATTCGGCTTCCTTCCTCTCAGGCTTTTTTCCTTCCCCTCCTGTCCTCAGCATCATACCAGAACATTATAGTTTAGGAAACAGATTATACGATTCTACAAGATGTCCTCGTAAAAAATGCAAAAATTTGGGATTTCACAAACTTCGTGTGTGTTCGTGTATGTGTGTATTTCTCAACAAATTTAGAAATATCATTTTGCATTTCTTAAAAAAAATAATGATAACATATCCTCTTTTTGCAGAAACGTAAAATTTTACTTTAGTGAGGTTCATTGAAAATGAAGGTCCTCCATTTTTTTTGGGTATAAAATTGTAGAAAAATGACTTTTAAAACACTATGGAATGAGGGAATGACTGATGGAATGGGGAAATGATTTTTACAACTATTTGAAGCTGAATTTCAATAAAAAAACATAAGTTAATTTATTAACAGATGTATTGAGATGTGTTTTATACTTTAGAGAGCCACTTATGCTCACATAACAATATCACAAAAATAAACTAAAGGTTGAACTTAAAATTAAAATAAAAATGTGTCAGAGATGTGGCTTTTCTTAGACATATACATAATAATATCGTGCAGTAATACACCTCACCATCACCACCGTCAAATGTGCCCAAACAGCCATTGTGTCATGTCTACTGTGACTAGGCAATGTACAAGAAGATTGTGCAGGACGTGGTGGGGGTGTTTCTTCAACTATTCTGTGTAAATTTGTTTGTAATGCAACTTGCTTTTCTCTATAAACTTTACTATTCTTTTTCCATTTTTTTTTGTCTAGCTTCTCTTGCACTCATAGAACTTATTGGCTTAACTGACCTTCACCTTTCTTCTTTAAATAGTTTAATCTTTCTTTATCACGCAAAGCTTCTAAAGACACAGCATTACTTTCCATTTATTATCGCCTCTTTCTTTTTTAATTTCTTTTCTTCTTCACTTAACTGCTTCATTGTCCCCGTTCTTGATATACGGATATCTATTAAAATTGAAAACACATGTTATACAACCTGGTGTTGAAGAATAACACCCAAACCACAATTTTATATTTTCAAAAATCAGTCCCTCATATAATTGTCCTTCCCTCATTCTCTAATATAGTGAGCGAATGTCGGATTTGTATAAACGACACCCTAACCAACAGTACATGACCTCAAATTGATTTAGCATTTTGTGAATGGATTTTACTCCCCAAAAACAGAAAAAAATCATTAAAACATTCGAACTGTATATTGACCTTTTAATATGAACAGTGAGGTGATGACACAGAGAAATGTAATGTTCTGATTATTGAATTCCAATACTTTTTTGCAGCAACTCTTTGCACTATTACGAAATTCCGTGATGTTGACATTATTGGCAGTATTATCAAGTTTTAAAAACATAACAGCTGCATTCAAAAATATAAGATTAGTGTGACTACTAAACGAATATTTATAATGGGTGAGGGAATGATTTCACTTCAAGGGACATAATGTTTAAATAAATTTTTTATGAACATATTTATTTTTAAGCAATTAAAGCTTGACTATACAATCCATATTTATTACCAAATATTTTAGGAATATTCAATTCATAAGATTATGAACAGATATTTTTTTAATATTAATTTCGAACACAGGGACAAGATGAGGGAATGACTATTAACTAATAAATTAATCGTATTTGTTGTGACAATGTATTATCTATTTTTTTGCTTTTAAAATATTCGTGTAGTTACTTATTCATATAACAAAAATGTTAAATTGATGATAAATCCATGCAACCAACATCAATGGCTCAGGACATGAATTTCGACATTTGCTGAGAAATACCCATGTAGACTAGATTTATAACGATCAACTAGCACTATAAATCTGCTTGACTCTGTTTCTTTTGTTGAAAATAACCAAGCTACAGACTTCACTCAGCAAAGCATTCCAGTAAACAACTAAATAGAGCAATGTGAATTTATCTGGGTTGCATGACCCATTTAACTAGACAGGAGAAAACATGCATGGAATAATTGATAGATAGCGTCAGGATTGGACTAGGATCTGGGGCACATCAAATATGTCGTGATAATGATTGGTTGTAAATAATGCAAAATTTACTTGTAAATAGGTCATATATGGTGATGCATCTTCTATATCCATTGTTACCCATTTTGGAATTGGGTCGTTTAGGGAAAGTCTGACCAGATGTTTGTCATTCAAATAGTGTTTTCACAATAAGATCGATAAATGATCCAGATCTGTTTTATGTATATAAACTGTCGACATTGTAGATAAAACCGAGTTTTGTGTGCATGGAACGACTTGAAACAAAAATTGAGGTTTTTAATTTAGAAACTGTTTAAAATGTTACATTTTCAAAAAAGCTTGCGATTCTGCAATGTTTGCCAGAACTAGTTTTTTGTTTAAATCAGAAGAATATATGATGAGTCTGGCGTCAGTTTTTTGTTGAATTCGACGAAAAAAAAATTAACTCTATTTAGAACTTGGCAGCAATTTAGCGTTATGTAATTGAATTTTCCATAGAAATTAAAAAATTACAATCGGAAAATTTTGGGCAGCACAGAATATTTACTCGTTCGATGTAAGATGAAAAATTCCTGATTTTTTCAAATTTGCACGTATACCTTACTGTGATGTTTTTATGTAAAAGACTAGATTTCTAACCCAGCGGAGTGTGTAGGTGGCGTCACTAATAAGGTAACCGAATTTCTCAAACATGCAAGCTGGCTGTCAATTTACTAATACTATCAAAGATACAAAACGTGAAAATTATTTAAAAACATTTGTTTTGTGTTAGTAACAGCTAGTGCAAAATAAAATTCCTGCATTGCTTGCCAGTCACAGGTTGAGTGGGGCGATGGCTGCCCGCGCTGTTACCGGTTTTGGTACTTGCCGACGGTTGGTTGGCAAATCGACGATGAGTTTGCGGATAAAACCATGCCTTTAAACTTCATCGGATATAAATTAATAAGCGTACACATTTTCAAGTATTTCCATATTGTGGTTCAGTCGTGATGCTGACAGACTGGATAGACAGTTACAGTTATATACAGGGTGTCCGCAAAGTTGGGGTTTTCCTTTTCAGAAACAACTACCCCTGAAATAACAAAGGTAATGTGTAGTCAAACGAGGGCGACCAAGTAAAAAAAAATAAAGGAAAAAGTACTCACTCTCCAGTTGACGAGAAGGGCAAAGTACGTCTCTGCCCGAAATCATACCGCTCCAACAGAAAATGAAATCAGCTGATGCGTTACCGAGCAGACGCAGGCAAACAAGGAAGGCAAAATGTTGCGTAAAAAGTCTAGGTATCGCATCCCGTCCAATCGATTTGGGAGAATAAATGGTCCAATGAGCATACCGTTCACCATGCCAGCCCAAACATTCACCGAAAATGTTTGTTGAAAATGTGCCCGACGGACAGCGTGCGGATTTTCTACTGACCAAACATGAGTGTTGCGAAAATTATTCACCCCATTACGCGTGAGCGTAGATTCCTCTGTCACCAATATGCACTTCAAAAATTCCGGATTATTGTCATGTTGATGCAAAAACCACTCACAAAACCGCACTCTTGCTGGAAAATCGTCAGGTTGAAGGGCTTGTACACGTTGGACGTGAAACGGATACAGCCCCTCTTCACGCAGCGTTTGCTACACTTTAGTGTTTGATACTTGCACTTCTCTAGCCACGTCTCTAGTGCTTGTTGAGGGATTCTCGTCTACGCGATTACCTCTACACGCGTGACCGTAACTGTCGGATGAAGGTTGCATACTGACCTGACACACTGACCCCGACCCAGTTCTGTCGTCGGGTTGAGCTAGTGTCCTAGTACCACTCGGGGATGTCGCGGCTACAGGTCGGTATCCAGATATTATTGATGTTGCAGAGCCCTTTATCTCGGTTCCCTTAAGACATTGGTGTATATGGTACTAAGAAAAATTGCTTATGTTTTCAAGATCTACACGTCGTGTAAAGGAAAACCCCAACTTTGCGGACACCCTGTATAGAGACCACACAGCATTGCAGTTTGCTAGATAACAGATAAATGCACCTTACAGCGCCATTAAAGGCTACCTATAGCCTAACAAATAACCTTATAACTATTTATTGAGAGCATCATGTGGAAAAGTTCACTTCTTGATTTAAGGAAAAAATACAAACTTAATGAAAAGAAAATATTTATTTATTCCGTCAAAATGTTTGCCGTCCCTTCGGACACACTCTTCTAATCGCGCACGCAAATTCTGAAACACTCTCTTGCAGCCTTCCGGAGTGATGTTGTTTATTTCTCGTCGAATGTTGTCTTAAAGCTCCTCAGTGTTGGTGGATTATTGGAATACACTTTTGACATTAGATAACTCCATAAAAAATGTCTCCAAATTTCGATATAAGTTTCTGAGGAAAAAGTGCATCACCGTGTCCATCGGTTCCCTGGAAGTATGGGCAGTGGCCCCATCCTGTTGAAAGACGTGTTTCTGTTGAATCGACGTTCTGTTCTTACAATAGGAGCAAAAACACTGTCAATCATGTCCTTGTATCGCTCGGAATTGACTGTAAATACATTCTTCAAAGAAATACGGCCCAATAATACCGCTAGCGGATATGGATCACCAAACAGTCACCTTTGGACTATGTAGCTGTTGTTGATGTTTCTCTTTTGGGTTCGTTGGTGCCCAATATCTGCAATTTTGCTTATTCACATAACCGTCTAAGTGGCCTTGTCACTGAAAACAACGTTCTCGAGTCTGCGCTGCGTCCGTTCAGCACAAGATTTCCGTAATACGTAATCACTTTCCTTTAAATCATGGACTGAACCACCACTCTTAAAGTAAGCGTCGACAGCAAAAGCACGTTGCGCTCCGGTCCAACGTTCCATTGTGACTATTTAACCCGCACGCCTAACGCGCCGATCAAGACCTCTCCCCACTTCCTCGCGTATTCGGTTGCCGCGTAATTCAAATTTGAAATGTGAACTTTCTCACTGGACACAAAACGCAAAAAAAATCAAGACGATCACCTTGAGAAAACCAATGTCAAAATGCATTAAATCCACGATGCAAGTGCCCTATTTATATACCCTGACTCTTCTGTCAAAAACTCCATTATGCCGTTTGGACTGCAATCCACATCTACACCTTATTATTTATAATATCAATAGGGATATTGCGAGCTGGTTCGTTTTATTCTAAACGATTTTTTTCTATTCCAGGTGCAACATGTGATATCTCAAACGGACAAGGAGCATTACGTATGTCTCTGGTTAGGATGCAAGGTGCATGGAAGGACGTCGTGTTCAAGGTCATGGTTGGAGAGGCATGTGCTCGCTCACGCGGGTACGAAACCCTTCAGGTGCATTGTCGATGGCTGTGGTCAAAGGTTCAACTCACAGGTAAATAATAATGCATCAGATTGTCACGATCAGATTGTCAGATTGTGTTTTACAACAAAAGCTTTGCAATATTGCACGATGCCTTATTGTGATGGTCACGACGGACTAAGCGAAACATTATACTTAACAGGAGAGGGGTGGGGGAGGGGTTAAACCAAAATGGATCAAAAAGTGGGTCGGCTAGATCTGGATTGCTGCTCCTTGAATAAAAGCAAAAAAGCGAAAAAACACGTTTTGGAGATTCTTTAACTCAACCGACTCGAGTAGAGATTTCCTCCCCGATAGCAAGAAATATTCATTAAATATTTACTCAATATTTAATATTTTTATTAAATATTTATTCAATATAATAATAATAATAATAATAATAAATGGCTTTTATTCGTCACATAATTACAAAATAATTGGCTTCAGAGGAATAGTGACGAAAAAGTGGAGTGTCAGCTTATGCTGTTTTTCAACCCAACCTAAAAAACATTGACACAAACTATAAAGAGAAAAAAAAAAATACCTACATTTAAATGGCACAGTTCACAACATTGACCACCAAAAAGAGAAAAGCTTAAAATATTACACTTCTCAGAAAAAGGAAACAACCAATTACCTGTGGATATGCGTAAAGTTAAATTCTAGCCATCCGATTGCTTTAAACTCATATTTAACCTTTTTTAAAATTGTTTAGGCTATATTCTTTATATTCACTTGACAAGCAGTTATATAGTTTGGGCGCCCAGTACGAGAAACTACGTGTGAACAATGCTGTATCTTTTAAATATTTTAAACACAATATTTCTTTTATAATATCCATTAAATATATATTTTGAACGACTCGTTCGCGAACGACACATGACTACCATTTTGCCTGTGACTATGATAGCGTCCTTCATGTGCAGCTCCAAGTTGTACATTATTTAATTTTTTTTTGTGGTGAAGGGAAAAGCGTAAGTTTTTCGATAATTACAAAGCCTAATTTATCTGACTAGTAAACATTACTGTTCCAGTTGAGTATAAAGGTATTCACAAGACCATAAATGACTAGCCTTGAAGTGCAACAGTTATTTGGTATTGGTGGAACTTGTCGAGATATATCGAAAATGCTTTTTTTTAAATATCTCAAATATTATTATTTTTGACGTTCCAAAATTTTAACAAAGTGGTCTATTTTCAAAAACCTTTTCTTTAAAAGTTAGTCAAAGGATCAAGTTGTGCCCATGGACATTTTTCATCAATGTATCTAAAATAACGTACCAAATTTTCTTAAAAATTAACCAAATCTCCAAAGCTGTCCTAGGCTGAAAATGTTGGGTCTTTTTAGGTGCATTTTAGAGCTGCTTGTCAGTGACCCAGTTGCGCTACTCGGAGTAACTCAGCATGCTCAGCACCAATATTGTTCCACTGCATTTTCTATTCCCATAAATATACTGGAAAGCAGCTTATGTATTCAATAATACTTCATAATTAGTGCAGAAGAGGCTTAGAACGTTTTTTTTAATAATATTTTTCTAGCAAATAAACCATTATATCTAGAATGAATTTTCTTTATAAACCCAACTTTATATAAGCATTCCTATAGATTTTGCTAAAATAACCAATGGAGAATTTCCTATATACACTGAAAATCCATACATATTTAAGGAAAATATTAGATATTTCATCAAAATAAAAAATTGATATTAAAAAATGTTTCCTCGCATATTTACTACTACTATTTACTACAAATATCTATAGTGAATATTTTATAAATATATAAGAAATATAATTATTAAATATTAAAAAATCTGTTGCTAAAAATATTTAACAAAAATTTTTTTAAAATATTTAATAAACATTTAATGCTATCGGGGCTCGTAATGGGATATTTTTTATTCATACCCTGTTTCAGCTAAGATATTAACATTGTTATTCTTTTGGTTTTTGGGTACGTCTTCTGTAGATGCCAACCACTCGTGTTGATGCCAAAAAAAATATTTTACCCAAAAACCAACCGAATGACATTGGATGATGGCCGCGAAAGCCATTCGCATTTCATATTAACATTATTTATTTCAGTTGATGTTGGAGCGTCACGTTAACAATCACTTCAACCAGGACGGCAGTCCCAATACCAGCGCGAGGAAGACAACGGAAAATGGCTGTTGTAAGCTGTTCAAGCGCAACGGCAAAAAAATAAGGTTCAGGAGACAGCCGTGGTCAGGTAATGCCTCGTCAGCCTTTTCTTCCCACCTATCACTTTCCTAATACGTACCTACTGTTATATAATCCATTTCCGTCTCAAAAGATAATGTAGATAATGGTATATGGGACATGTAAGTATACATCAAGAATCTTCGATCAATATATACAGGGTGATTTTTATAAGTCATTGACATTGGATGTCCCAGAAGACCCTGTACAAACACATACTGCATGCTGTATCAGTGTCTAACAACTATGTTTTGTTTTTTAAATAATGTTGCGATATATTCTGTAAATTCTATAAAGTTAAACGAATTGATATTAGATCCATCTGGTATATTATAAATGTAGTTTCTAGAGGATGGTACTATTTGTCTGAACAAGAATCGTTTTATTAATCTGTTAATTATTCGCAATATACAGAATTAAGATAAACGCTAATTCTAATTGAGCGCTTGCTAATTTTTACATCTATTTTTAGAATCACTCAAGCCAAATATATTCATTATTACACTTGATTAAGCCATAACAGAGCTAAAAATATATTTAAGTAATGAATGTAATACAAGCTTTGGCAGCATAACTTCATTTTTTCAAAACTTTGTATGAATCAGAACATTTTCATTTGTTTTTTATAATGTAGGCGCATGCCTAAAGTTTTGTTTCACACAGTTTTGCAGATCAACTCTGATAGGTGACAAAAAATTGAGAACTATAATGCAAACTGAAATAACCTCATTTTCTTTCTAGACTCTTGCTGAATGTTTATAAAATTAGAAACTTAAATCCAAAAAAAATTACAATTTCTTTGTTTAATGACCGATTAGCACTTATTAATCCACATATGGTTGTTAGATTATGATAGAGGGTGTTCAAAATTTGACTTTTCGTGATATGTTGTTTTTACTATGTTATTTGGTATAACAGTACGTAATTTCTTCCTATAGAAGAAGGAATCCCTATGCATCATTTTCGGCATGGAATTCCATTCTTCGTTGTAGGATTATGATGAAATAATAATAATTTCGACTTGGTACATCTTGCTTATAAAGTACTGAACATGCATAAAAACTGCCAAGGAAGAACTGAAACAAAGTTCTATTTTTTGCATTCACCATTAACAGTGAAACTGAAACCTAGGGAAAAATTATGAGAAAAATATTTTGTCGATAAACCCTTCCTTATAGAAAAATTTTCTTCGATAGATGCTATGTAAAGAACATGGTATTTAGGAAGCAGGTCGGAAAAGTCTTGATTGACAAGATGAAAAGAATCTTTTCTCATTGTTATCTGATCCTTTCAAGGTTTTGACACAGTTGAGATCAAAATAAATGCTGATTAATCTTTAATATAGCATTTGTTCCTTATAGACAATATTCTTCTTTCGCATTTATGAGTAGCAGTAAAACTGGAGCGTAGCGAAGAATAGTAAAGAAAACATATGTTTTCGATAAACCCTTCCTTACAGAAAAATTTTCTCCGATAGATGCTATGTAAAGAACATGGTATTTAGGAAGCAGGTCGGAAAAGAAATGATTGACAAGATGAAAAGAATCTTTTCTCATTGTTATCTGGTCCTTTCAAGGTTTTGACACAGTTGAGATCAAAGTAAATGCTGATTAATCTTTAATATAGCATTTGTTCCTTATAGACAATATTCTTCTTTTGCATTTATGAGTAGCAGTAAAACTGAAGCTTAGCGAAGAATAGTAAAGAAAAAATTTTTTTCGATAAACCCTTCCTTACAGAAAAATTTTCTCCGATAGATGCTATGTAAAGAACATGGTATTTAGGAAGCAGGTTGAAAAAGTCTTGATTGACAAGATAAAAAGAATCTTTTTTCACTATTATCTCGTCTTTTTAAGGTTTTGATACAGATGAGATGAAAATAAATGCTGATTAATCTTTAATATAGCACTTGTTCCTTATAGACAATATTCTTCTTTCGCATTAATGAGTAGCAGTAAAACTGAAACCTAGCGAAGAATACTAAAGAAAACATATTTTTTCGATAAATGCTTCCTTACAGAAAATTTTTCTCCGATAGATGCTATGTAAAGAACATGGTATTTAGGAAGCAGGTTGGAAGAGTCTTGATTGACAAGATAAAAATAATTTTTTTCACTATTATCTCATCCTTTTGAGGTTTTGACACAGTTGTGATAAAAATAAATGCGGATTAATCTGTAATATAGCATTTTTTTCTTAGGTATATGCAATATTCTTCGATAAATCACACATTATTGTATTTCTGAAACCTAGTGAAATATAGTAAAGAAAACATTTTTTTCAATAAACCCTTCCTTACAGAAAAATTTTCTTCGATAGATGCTATGTAAAGAACATGGTATTCAGGAGGCAGGTCGAAAAAGTCTTGATTGACAAGATAAAAAATATCTTTTTTCACTACTATCTAGTCCTTTTAAGATTTATTTTACAAATGATATACAAATAAAGGCTGATAAACCTTCAATATGGCATTTGTTCCGTATATACAATATCGTTCGTTAAAGCACACTTTTTTGCATTTATGAGTAGCAGTAAAACTGAAACCTAATGAAGAATAGAAAAGAAAACATATTTTTCCAATAAACCCTTCCTTATAGAAAAATTTCCTACGATAGATGCTATGTAAAGAACATGGTATTTAGGAAGCAGGTCGAAAAAGTCTTGATTGACAAGTTAAAAAGGATCTTTATCCACCATTATTTTCGTCCTTTTAAGGTTTTGTTACAAATAAAGGTTGATTAATCTTCAATATAGCATTTGTCCCTTATAGACAATGTTCTTCGATAAAACACACTTTGATTATTCTTCGATACCTTGTCCTATGGGTATATATCTCCTTACACAGTGAAAAAAATTCGTTAAACTATGTAAAGAGCATAGTATTTTAAAAGCAAACAGATTAGAATATCTAATTTGTAAGCTGAAAAACATCATCCTCCGAAACCCACACTTCGATTTCCAGAAGCTTATATGGAGCACATATATTCGTATTCTTGATGTTTACTATATGTATCACAATTATATCTCTGAGGATTCTCGAAAACAACTTTTATTCTTGTACCATTAAAATTCTACGACCAATATGATATATTTGTGATGATACTACGTTTTCGCTTATAGCCGATAGGGAGCTAGTTCTCTGTAGTGGGTCTGCAGAAAACATTTCCTTCGTTGATTTTCACTGGATATAAAAATACAAACCCGTAGCGCTGTTCTAGATGTATTATTACGAAAGTGGGACGTTTTCTTCAAACTCGATGAGGGACTATTCTACGAATTTCAGTTCTGTGAAAGATTTAAACACCAAAGTGTAGAAACTTACCAACCTCGATGCTAACTGGGAAATCAACCGAGCTTCTAAAATGATCTCTTCGATGATATATTTGTCCAATGGATGTGCTGGAAATAGAGTATAGGGCTTCCTTTTTGTGCAGGAATCTTCGTATACCGTTTATTGTCAAAATTTCAACACTCCACTCCGCTTATCATTTCGTCTTATTGGTAGTAATTTGGATTGTTAAATCACTTATTTCTATTTTCTTTTGGATTTCTCCATAGGTTTTTTCCTTTTTACAACTTCTATTGGCCTCTTTCAAAATAACACAACAAAATAGTTACTCAATTGTCTTTCAAGTTACCTTCGGTTCAGCTTTCCTCACACTTATAATAAAATCATTAAATTTTACGTCTAAGACTTCACGAAATACGCAGCATTAGTTACAAAGCTATTAAAAATTCATTGCAAATCTCCCAGGATCAATTTTGTCCGATAAAGTATTGTCGTTGTAACGAAACATCAATCCATATTACTACTCGTATAACTTCAACGCACATATTGGAGACATTGAATACTTTCCGCATTCGTTAAAATATTTTGTGTCACATTGAAAAATGTTTGCAGCTTCGATACGAATACAACAAATCGGTAATAGTTTCGATGTTAATGATGCATACCATTTCCTGGTATTTTTGACGGTATGCATGTCCTTGCAGTCTGCAACACACAGTCTATTGTCTCCAAATAATGCGTTTTTAATTTTTTCTTTTCGCCGCCATACTAACAAAATCAGCGTCATAGAGTCACGCCCAAAATATTTTTTAAAACTTACTTGAACGTGTCTCTATGAATCGCCCTTTAGCACAGGGTGCTTCTTTGTCTTTCAACATTTCGAAATACTGTGCATTATACGCTCCAGAGGATCTCAAGGTCAATTTTTGATGCCTGAAACATCAACATTAGGTCATTCCTTGGAATAGAAATGGCCTGCATTTACAAATGACCTTAACAGCAAGGTCATAAGAGTCCAAAATCGACTTATGAGGCTCTTTTGGGTCTAGCAGAACACCGATTCTGCAGAGAGCGTGCATGTCTTGTGTCGTTACTAAGGCCTGGCAAGGCTAAGGTTTCAGATATTTGCACTCTCAAACCCAATAAGGAAAACCTACATGCAAACCCCTGTGTCAAAGCTGTGGAGTCTGACACAATATATATGAGGGGTCACAATATTTGTGGGCCTACACGAGGATGCTTTTTTCCCAGTTCTACGAACCTTAAAAAAGCTGATTAACAAAGTTTCTTTAAGCTCTTCATTACATAATGCAAGTGACTTTGAGGTGCCTTAGGATCTAACATAAATGTGCAGGATTCTCGATCCAATCTAGTTTGCTCCAAATTTAGAATGTACCAATGCCAATTTCACCCTTCTATATATCCCCGCCGAACGTTGTCTTTGATCTAACACACTGCTCCATTCTTTTAGCTCGCATGTTCGACTTCATCGACTCCGGCATCATGGAAGGCCTGCAACACAACCTGCTAATGCTGACTCAGAAGCGGACAGCTGGCAAGATCAGCGAAGCTCCTGGTGACGAGGTCCAACTGCATAGTACGGTGCTAGCCAGAAGGACGGACGCCGACGGAAGCGTTAAGTACTTGCTCAGGTGGCACCCAGAGGATGTGTAAGTACTTTCTCAGTCTCTCTTTCTCTATAGTTCTCTATATTTCTCTCTGTCTCTCTTTCTCTCTTTCTCTCTTTCTCTCTTTCTCTCTTTATCTCTTTCTCTCTTTCTCTCTTTCTCTCTTTCTCTCTTTCTCTCTTTCTCTCTTTCTCTCTTTCTCTCTTTCTCTCTTTATCTCTTCCTCTTTCTGTCTTTCCATATTTTTCTTTCTCTCTTTCTCGTTCTCTGCCGTTCTCTCTATGACTTTACTACCCACCTAATATGGTCAAACAGGCATCGAATGCATCGTTGGTGCGACGTCGAATCCCCCTGCCTCCAGACTTATTTGTGTTTGTTTGGTTTTTATTTCGTTCGTTGTCTTAGGGAGGAAGCCTAGACCATGCTGATGACTTTCCAAAAAGCACGAGACAGCCGTCCATGGTTGGTCGTCTGTGGCCGGACGGACGAAAGCTATATTACTAGTTTGATCAATATCTTTATTTCAGCGTTCCAGACGAATGGGTATCGGAATCCGCCTACAAACCCTCAAAGTCAGTCTCGATACCCAGCCTGAGCCCTACATCAAAGGTGGCGCTCAAACCCGTCCTTTTCCCTTCCACAAAGGACGAAGAGCCCAGGCGGAAGCAGCAGCGGAAGCAGCCGAAACGTCAAACGTGATAAATGAAGGTCGACGGCAGAAGGCGCCTTTTTAAGCTAAGCGATTGTATTCTATGATATTTTTGAGCCTTTGTACGAAAACACCAGCCATGTGTTTCACTAGAAATGGTCAAAGTACTGATTATGATGTCCTTGTTGAGCGGCAGGAACGCCTGATGACATTGTTGAAAATTGAAAATTTGTATCCTTGGAAATCTCTGTTTGATTGTCAAACTATGGAAAATTGTCCCTGTTGTTTAGAAAATAGTAACTGGGATCGTTAAAGTTAGATTTGTTGTTATATACACAGTATATATTAACGTATTTGTTTGTATTATTTTTGTATTTGTCAATTCTGGACTCATTATGCCTTGATACTGCAAAGTATATCACCTAATCAAAGAAATGTAACTAGACTTGATACATAGAATTTTCCATAGTTTCGTCGATCTGTTATTAGAGTTACGACAGTTTGTGATTATATGTGGTTTGTAGTTTGATCAAAGCAAGGTCTAATTTACTCATCTCAAGGCCGCACGTCCTCTTTTAGATTTTTTTTCAACTCCCTGTTTGCAGTGTGTATAGAGATGACTAAAAAAACAATGTTTTCATTGTTTTTGTCAACAAATGCATTTTTCGTGCATTTTATTGTGCATTTTTTCTTCAATCGGAACTTGTTAATAAACGTAAGTTCAGCTCTGAAATTGTGCGTGAATATTCCTCTTTTATGGAAGAATGAAACGAGTGATTACTTTTGTTCTAATCACTTTTCTTTTTCGAAAAATATTTGCGTTTCTTGCAAACTCAACCTGCTGCGAGACGAGGCTTCAAAAAAATCAAAGATTTTTTGAAAAGGGAACGTGATAAGAACAAAAGTAATCACTCGTTTCATTCTTCCATAAAAGAGGAATATTCACACACAATTTCAGAGGTGAACTTATATTTGTTAACAAGTTCAGATTGTAGAAAACATGCACAAAAAATACATTTTTTGACAAAAAAAAAATGAAAAGATTGTTTTCAATCATCTTTATACACATCATGGAATTATCAGATGAAAAGGATTTAGACCACTGCTGCAAACGGGAAGTTGAAAATTAATCTAAAAAAGTGACGTGCCGCCTTAAATAGGTTGCAGAACAGGCCTAAATCATGAATGTTTAATTGCCTATCCGTGAAGTTATTTCGCAAGTCTTTTAAAAGTCTGAACCTTGAGCTACTAGAAATCACACATAACCAAGACTCGAGTTCAGAGTATGACGTTCAGAAGTGAGGAAAGCTAATGTTAGAAGTAATTTTTGCTCAAAATGTATCAGTCCCAGGCGTTTCTGTCAAGACGTGCAAACTACCCCGCGCAGGCGCATTCTGGCCTTATTTAGCTAATAGTAGAACGTCATACGCACAAAATCTATCGGTCAAATATCAGTGTCTTTCAACGATTGCCTAACAACTATAGGCCAGCTATTTTTTAACTCACTAGTTCTTTGTCAGTATGCAAATGTTCATCTTTTAAGTTCTTAAGCGACATACCTTTTCCTTCAGTTGGAAGCTTTTTTCCAAGTTGGTTTTCTAAAAAATCAGCGATAGATTCACATAATCCGAGAGCTAATCATAATTGACCACGATATCTAGAATTTGAGAGAAAAAAATTGTAATAAAAATGTGCCACAATGGAATTAGGCCCTTCGTTCAGATACAAAAAGTATTGATAGCTAACCTTTTTTATTTAATATCAGAGTTGGAAGAACACTTTTGGCATAAGTGGTCCAAAAAAGTTGTTTGGGGGAAAAATACCTTCAAAATAAGATCTTATACGCCAGAAATCGTCGATTCCTACATTTATTTTTTATTGGAAAATTCAAAACGGAAATCAGAAATAATGCTCTTTTCCTTTCCTTTTTTGTCAAAATGTGTATTTTTTATCACCTTTTCAGTAGTGCAATTACGAGTGTCAAAAAACAAAGGAATTATTCTAATTGTCTATAAGGAAAAATAGATGTACTGTTGACGACGCTTTTTACATGGTTACTATAAGAAACTCTAGTATTTCTTTCAACAAGATATTAACCTAAGCCTCTAGCAAGAGAATAAGCCCAATATGAGGTCATTTGCTAGATTCAAAAAGGCCATTTTTCTGAAAAAAGTTAGTAACTGATAGAAAATTGCAGAAACGGTTCAGCATTTTTGATCGACATTTTTTCTGAAGTACAAAAACTTGTAACTATTATTTTAGATTTACTGTTATGCATTTTGCAGTAAAAAGTAAATCTACAAATCAGTCATTTCTGGCGTTTTTTATACAAACCAACGATTTCTGACATTTTTTTGTAATAACAAATTGACAGTTCCGGCAAGTTGGCCGTGTAAGTCCTCAATTTGGAGGTATTTTCATCCACTATACATTTTTTTGGACTATTTACACCAATAAGTGTTTTTTCTAACTTTGACGTTTAATTAAAATGTTAGCCAGCAAACTTTTTTGTATCTCCCGATGAGGAGCCTTGTCATATAGCCTCAAGTATATAATTCCGTTGTTAAACCGCTTACTACAATTTTTTCTCTTAAATTCTAGATACTCTGGTCTATTATGATTGAATCTCAAGTTAGTCAGCTTCTTCTACAGGTTATCCGGTAAATAGTACGACAAAAACATAGGCCAAAGGCCGATCTGCAACATACCAAAAAATCACCTTAGTATAAATTTCACTGTTTTTCAGATATTAGTTTTTGTATCTCTTTCGGAAAATTTCCTCGTTTTATCTTTTATTAAGCATGTAATTTATCGCAGTACTTTGCAGTAGCAGTCTAGTACATTTTTATTTCATTGCTGAATACAAAAGTTGAGTAAAATAGTTTTCTAAAATAAAAATTACGAAGAAGAAATTAGTTTAGAAGTTTACCTACTTGAATTTATCGAAAATGATATTTCAAATGGCAGACCAACTATCTGAGAATATTTTGAAAAAATACAGATATCCTGTTATTTCTAGGCACAGCACACAAAAAATTATATCTCAAAAACAGTGAAACTTTTACTAGGGTACAGTTTTTTATATGTTGCAGATCTGCCCTTCACCTATCGTCCCTATTTTTTGTCGTACTATTTACCGGTATATTAAAAAGATTCTTCAAACTCTGCTCTACGGCCTTCTAGACTAGAAGTTAGAAATTGGTTGCTCTATAAAGCCATGCTAGGGCCATGTTTGTACGTGCCGTGGACGTATGGATCTCGTAATTATAGCAAAGGTTCGTTTCCTAAGAGTAATTTTTGTATAGAGAGCTAGCGAGTGATGCAAGCGAATGATGTATAGCTATGTGGAGTCTTTCACTTTGTACAGTAGGTTTATGTGTATAGTTATAACGTAAGGGTACAACAGAACGTGGTTTTGATCGTTTACAACCAGCCAGTATATCACTGCCATTACGAAATGAAATCTGGTTGATCATGTATAGCTGTTAAAGACTAGATTAGTAAATGCCGATCGACATTTTGGTGATGCTGAAGAGGGTAAGGGCTGCAGAGAGGAATGCGTGCCTAATATTTAGGCGGACACAGGGGTGCGGTACACCCCATACAGCTAGAAAGATAGTGACTGAGCCTATACAGCTAGATTTTTTCAAAGTCCCGCATTATATTTTAACTACCTCGATAAACTTATGGTTTATTTAATGTAATTTATATCAGAGCTCAATAATATGAATTTTGTATCTATGTGCGAAGTTAGGCGAAAAATGTGCGAATGGTTTGCCCACAACTGCTCTGGAGATCGCAAGATTTCTCGCCTACCTCCGAACATTATTTTGAGTTTTTCAAACTACTATACCCACTCATTTTCTTTCCATTCATCCGTCTCCAGGTCTAATAGACCTATACCGCACGGATGAGCTGCTATAATTAGCACGAAACAGCGCTATCTGCGGTTGGTCGCGCTTATATAGGTGGAAAGCGAAATCTCCATTTCAGCAATTACAAACTAAATTTTTGCATTGTCAACATCAGATAATTCTTGGTTGAGATGTTGGTAAAAATCAAGCCAAAAGATCTATTTTTGCACTGGAATTAAACACATTCGATTTAAGTTGGCAATATGTCAAAATAGTAAACGGTGTTACTGTCGTAACGTCACAAAAGGCAATTAAAAATTAAATTTTTACATTGTCAACATCAGATAATTCTTGGTTGAGATGTTGGTCAAAATCAAGCCAAACGATCTATTTTCGCCCCTTAAGCACATTTGACTTAAGTTGGCGATATGTAACTCAGTGTTAACGAACTTTGATATGAACTGGGCTAGAGCCATAGCTTTATCGGGATAGATATGTAGCTACAATAATAAATCTAACTCTATCAGAAGTTCGTCAAAGATATAGCTATTTTTCTAGCTGTTACGGCTTCCTTGAGAAGCTTATTTCTAATGTTGGATTTTTTGGAACGTAAATAATTGTTTAAAAATTCACTACATCTAAACCGACTCAATAAGCAGTGAAATTGGGGAAATTAAATCGTTACTAGTGCTCATTGATGTCAACCTCACTCTGAGGTATATTTCACAACGAATATTTGGTAATAGGGAATATGCTTTTGATTCAAATGTCATCTGAAAAACCAACCAATCCTTTATTGGCTCGTCAGTCTGATTTAAAATGGCAGGCGTTTGTTCACATTGTCGTTGATTGTCAACCTGTCAGTCATTATTTTCCAAATTTTCAAAAATTCAATTTGTAAGTAATATAGGTACATAACCTATAAACATTTTGTACTTTGACTTTGACATGTCGGAGAGTCTGAGACTGTGACGTCAGTTTATAGCGCGCCAAAAGTGGCGGCGTTTAAATAGACGATTACAGTTTTAAATATTTATTTGAAAATAATTTCATGGATTAAATAGGTGTTCACGGTATCATATTAACGCAAATAATCGACAGGTAATACAAAAAAATCATGTATATTTCCTATTACATAGGACTTTAAGTTCTTGGAGCACCACTCGGAAATCAGTAGAAGCGCTTTTTTACCTCAAACTTTTTTCATGCGGGTGTCCACATTTATTCATTTTTTAGAATGTGTCATGTACTTCAAAAAGTCCAACATTTTATTGTCGGTTTTGTTAATGATCACACAAGCGCCTGTAAATACAATAGCTAGAATACACTAAACACGATGTAATAAATTCCTTCTGCCTAACGTCCTCTATCGGCAATTCTCACCAAGTCGGCTGAACATGCATGTAACCATTTTTTACTTTATTTTACTCGTGCGTTTGCAATATTAAATAATTCATAAATTAATTCTACACGCGATAAATCGAATTTCGTTAGTATAATATTTTCGTTATTACATTCCTTTTTAGGTTTTATTTAATCGAATTTCATTTTTCCGATACCAGTTGAATGTTCGATTCTTAGGAGTCTGTAAAGATTTCACTGCCATTCGTGACTGCCAGCATTAGGTGTGTATAAGAACGAAAATGACAGAAGGACGTCAGCCGAGAAGCAGTTAACGTTAGGTCTCTGCACATCGTGACAGTATGGTTAAAACAAATTACACAGCTACACTGATAATATCCAAGGAAATTATTACTAAAAGCCTATGACGATAGTCTGAATTTTTGATTATATTTACCGAGAAATCTAATTCTCAGATCAAACAGGATGATAATTGTTCGCTTAATTTTCCCGCCACATTTTAATTTTAGATTTTGATGAACAACTATTCTAATTGTTATATGATCTCCTGATATTCCTTTGGTCAGAAATGTTCGCTTGGATGCACCTAAAAGGATACCCTACATTTCTGACAAACATTTCTCGAATATATTCTGTGCTGACCCCATACAAAGACCATAGGCCTTTTTTCGAAATATGCTGTATGCCTGTAACAGAGTGGTAAAGCTTATACGTACACACACACAGTGCTTGAACAACAATAATTTTCAAGCATTAAGTAAAATTACTGAGAATATAGACTCCAGAAACTTGACCTAACAAAAGCTTGATCAAAATTTTTGCTAGTTGGTGGAATTGTTGGCTTCTTCTAAAAGCTCTGTTTTTCTATATAGTTTAATTATTAACATTATTTTAATCAAAAGTAGTGATAAATTATCGCGCTAAGCTATTAGTGAATTTCAAGAACGTTTCCAACTAGCTAGAAATCGTACAAAAGTCGTGTGTAATTTAAGGAACTAACAAAAGTAACCACCAAGACTTGGTGTGTGCCATTTTTCACTCAAAGTCGCTGAGATGTAGTCAAAAATGCCTTTAGAATTTAATTCCGAGTTTCAACATTTATCTGTTATGTCATACACATTTTATTTGTCTAAATTTTTCTCAATTTCTTTAATTGAGTAGGGTGTTTATGGTTCTTTTCCAAATAAAAAAAAATCTCAATAGTGGACTCACCTCTAACGCATCCCTTTTTGTACTTTTGCATCGTATTTATAGTCAAAAAAGTATTAGAAAGTAATGTAATCTATTATTGCCTTTCTTTTCATTAGGCATAACATTTCTGATCTCAATTTGATGACCTAAATCTTTTTAAATAATGCCGACGATTTATGAAATCCAACTACACCAAGAGCATCGGTTAAGTGAGAAGAAATTCTAGAGTAAAGTGGAGCAACCTTTAGGCTATACAGACCATTAAATTATCAGATGAAAAGAATTTAGAATACTGCTGCAAACAGGAAGTGAAAAGAAATCTAATAAAAACGGGACGTGCCGCCTTAAATACAGTTTGTATCTTCTGTACATGTTACTTCCATTCCGCCTGGAATATAGATTTATTTAAACAATTGAAACTATCACTATTTCTTTTGCTCTACTGTATAACAGTAAAAAAAACAAAAATGGCATTCCCACCGCCTCTAGGTTTTGTTCCTTCTCGCGAGTTTAAAAAGAGTTTAGTCAAAAATGGTACTTAACCAGTGTTCAAAATTTTTCCAATGCTTCTTGCTCACATATAAGTAATTTTCGAAATATAGACTGAATTTAACGATACAAATTAATTTTTTAGAATTGTGACTGATTTTACTTTTTAAACGCAATGACATTTTTTTATACACATACATGATAATATCAATGTTTGGTTGCTATTAGTCGTAATTCCTTGATGTATGAACATCCTGTAGAGTTAAAGATATTTATGTTTAATTTAAGTACTTATACTTAAGTTTTTTTTATTCGTAGCAACCACGCATTCTCTTTAGGAGACTTTTTGACAGAGTCTGTACATATTGACACATATGAACGATTGTTTTTCAATATCGATGTAACATAGTTGAATATTAATTTAAATATAGTTTGTATCTACCATATAACTCTTATTTGGAATAAAAAATACATGAAAAATGAAGTAACTTTTGTAAACTATTCTTTTACACACATTGCATTTAGGAGCATCTTAAAAAATCAAGACTGTCAATCGATTATTGAAAATATCATAAAGTGTAGGCAATTTTACTAATTACATTTTATTTAATTGAATGCGATTTTTCTCTGTGTTCATTTGACTTAGTTTATTTTAGATAGTTAGTGTTTTCCACACAAGCGTTACGGTAGTTGGCAAGATTACAAAAAAATACCTTGCAGTTTTATATGCGTCTGTTAATATTAGTGGTATTCTTCTATAAAAGCAAAAAATTACAAAAACCGCAGCAAGATTTATTTTTATTTCACATTCATTTTGTTTAAAATTGGAGATTGTTTATCGGAAAAAGTGAATGGAAGAATAGGATAAATTTTTGCAGGAAGCCACAAAGTTGTAATTCATATACAAAGTATACAGTGACTTCCTGCCAAATTGTTAAAGTAAACTAAGTATAAGTGTTAGCAATGGAGTAAAGAAGCGTGCTGATAAATAGAAAGAAATCGCACTTTTGATGTCAAAAGATTCAGAACACTCAAAGTAATAAAGCTTAGAAATAAAGAAATAAGATGAATTGTTATGTTTCAGTTAAGAGTCTCAAGAAGCCTAAAAATGCTAACCACTGTCGCTAAAAATTGCTTTCATGGCAGCATCTTTCATTTTCTTTGTAGAGTTTTCTCAATTATTTTCTTTTATTTATCCATACTTATAAACTAACCTTATGCTATATTCCCGCGTCCAAAAAATATCTCAGAATGAATGAAATACCGTAGCGGCATCTATGAAAGTTTCTCACAGAAATTTCTCTAGTTACTTTTTATTTTTTTTTATTTTAAACAGCAGTCAGTTGTGACTTTAAGTCAGTGAAACTGTTTTGAATCAAAGTGATTCTTTCTGTTTATCCAAAGGTTGTGTAAAAAGCTTTGAATTGATTTATCAAAATGAGAAATTTTAACCTATCCTAATTGGTGTTGATGTTAACGAAATTTTTAGAGGATGTATAACTTGAACTGTATGAAACTTTACTTGAATAGAGTGGTAGATATGTAGCGATACGAAAAATAAAGATCATCGGAAAGTGACAATTTCCAATCTTTTCTCTTTGTACATATTTAATTCCAATATACTTAAATTATAAAAGAATCACCTGATACATTTATTATGACACACACACCTGTCCTTTTCTCAGTTTCTCTGGTTGACCTTTTCGGCGAAATAGGCGAACAAGAATATAGTGCAGGAAAATTGTGATTAAGTGATGAAAATGTAGTGAATATGCTGAAAGATACAGACGCGTTGGAAAAATAATTTGGAAAAGCCAGGTGCAACATGGTCACATTTTTTGAAAAAAAAGTCGCAAGCCTAGTTTTCATCAAAAT